GGGGGGAGGGGGATGAAAGTTTGAATGTCGATTTTGTTACGAAAGACAGCCAGCCTGGAAAATTGTGTACGTGTGAATATGATTGAATGAAAGGATAATTCAAATTTTGTAAATCTATTATGTGTTTTTATTATAACTTTTAATATGGTGTTTGTTTGATTGTGGTCCAACACGTTTTAATGTTACCTGTTGCCTCATCAGATTCCGACAAAAGACGGCTTTTTTGTAAATAAAGCGTTTTGGGTGATAATCTGAGGATTTGGAAAATCAATCGGCATTGGCATTTTAATGAGCAATGTTGAGTTTCACGTAATTATTATTGTTTTGTTTGTTTGTAGTTGTTTAGAATGCAAATACGTTGGGAATACGGGGAAAGTGATTCCTAATACATGTTACGGTAATTGCACCATAGAAGGGAGGTTTACTAAGGTGTCATGATTACCATTTGCATAAACGACGACAAAGTCAAATCATTTATATTTCAATTATGTTTATTCATGCTACATTTCATAAAGTATAATGTTGTGAATGAAGATTAACAAATTGTTCCTTGGTCCTGAAGTAATGCAGTGTGCTATCTTTATATTATGTTTTTTATGAGATAATTTTGAGAGATATATTATTGTATTCGTATGTATTTTATCATTTAGCTTGAGTTCCTTTTATAAACGGTAATCGTAAATGTGTGCAAGTCAATTAAAGTATCATATGATTTGTAGCTATTCTTACGTTGTTAGCTTACATGTACCTGCTTCGATAATAATATATTTTTTTCATTCGGAGTGACAATAGTGCTATAACCTTTTTGATGAGGAGATTCATTAATGCTAGCACAACAGCCCTCGCTATTTACAGACGAAGGATACATAGCCTTGGCACTAATGCTAGCACAACAGCCTTTGCTATTTACAGATGAAGGATACATAGCCTTGACACTAATGCCAGCACAACAGCCTTCGCTATTTACAGACGAAGGATACACAGCCTTGACACTAATGCTAGCACAACAGCTTTCGCTATTTACAGACGAAGGATACATAGCCTTGGCACTAATGCTAGCACAACAGCCCTCGCTATTTACAGACGAAGGATACATAGTCTTGGCACTAATGCTACTCAACAGCCTTTGCTATTCACAGATGAAGGATACATAGCCTTGGCACTAATGCTAGCACAACAGCCTTTGCTATTTACAGACGAAGGATACATAGCATTGGCACTAATGCTAGCACAACAGCCTTCGCTATTTACAGATGAAGGATACATAGCCTTGACACTAATGCTAGCACAACAGCTTTCGCTATTTACAGACGAAGGATACATAGCCTTGACACTAATGCTACACAACAGCCTTCGCTATAAACAGACGAAGGATACAAAGCCTTGACACTAATGCTACACAACAGCCTTCGCTATTCACAGATGAAGGATACATAGCCTTGACACTAATGCTAGCACAACAGCCTTCGCTATTCACAGACGAAGGATACATAGCCTTGGCACTAATGCTACACAACAGCCTTCGCTATTTACAACCGAAGGATACATAGCCTTGACACTAATGCTACAATTGCACGACTACACGCTCGGAAAACACATTATTATTAAAAGTTATTCAAAAGTGTTCCGGCATTGAAATCGACCTTTAATTAAAACGATTATTCTATTCATTTCAATAATCATCTATTTTTTTTAAATTAAAAAAACATTTGAATCAGACATCGTAGTTTTGTTTTATGTTTGTGTTCTGTGAAGAACCTCTGTTGCTGTTCCAGGCCACGTCGATATCCAAGGCGGAATTTTGAAATTGTACAAGTTCTTTTTTGTTGTTTTTTGTTTATAAATATAGATTTAAAATTTAAGCAATAAACGACATAGTTGATGAAACCTACTGCCACATATATGTAGTGCATTGCTGATATCATTTTTGAAGTTATATTACTTCGACCAGTTAATTAAATTCGGGATAATTTTCTCTCTAGATGTATCAGATTAAGTCTGCTTTTCATAACAATTAAATAAAACTAAAAAGTAATCCTTATTAGTTCATGTTGCCTCACGGTATGTCCGCTTCTTAGGAAAAGGCGATTAACTATCCACGTGGCATGGCGTATCGATTTAATTATCATAAGTCATAATTATCCTAACTTATATGTACTGCTTGCAGGAATGTGCTTCTATATCTAATGTATGGATGCTTGGGTTATTGAATTAATTAAATGTCATAAGTAGATGGACTAAAGAAAAATGATTTAAGACGGCAAAAACTAAAAGGTGGTGGATGTTTAAAGGGATGTTTTCCGAGCAGGTCCATCCTTTGTAATGAAACAACTCTTACAACATAGCTGAATGTATCACTTAGGGAAAATTCAATGCATTTGGTCCCTGTGCATACTTTTACGTAATTGAGGCAAATAAAGGAGAAGGAAAAAATCCCAACGAATAACTCTTAAAGTTTTGTAATATGTCGGCCTTGATTAAACAGTTTATAGAGACGTCAAGGTGCCAAATGACCACCCAAGGGAAGGTCAACCCAAAAGATGAACACAATTTTTTAAATTATGATATGAATTTTCCATTTATCATTGTCGCATATAAACTTTTTATCACAAACTTAGTTTCCCTCCTTGCCCCACACTTAACCTCATGTTAGGGAGACGCTAGGATACGTGGTAAGACCGCACAACAATATCATAACCTGGACTTCTCCGACAATATTTGAATAGATAGGAGATTCTCAACCCGAGGGGGAAGATTCTTAAGTTGCCAAACACGAGGGTTTGCCAAGTGTTTGGCAACTTAAGAATCTTTCCCCGGGGGTTGAGATTCCCCTATCTCACCCACAAGGGGGTGAATGATTCTTTTTCTATTACCCTGTTCTACCATTGTGTATCATATACACAATGTAATGATAGCGTTACATGCTAAATTCAGGGTTGACGTGACGTTGATGGATTCTTGACGTGACGTCATTGTATTGTTGAAGTGACGTCATGCCATTGTTATGAAAAGGGGAATCCCCCGTCTCAACCCTAGGGTAAGACATATAGAATCATTCACCCCCTTGGGGTGAGATAGGGGAATCTCAACCCGAGGGGGAAGATTCTTAAGTTGCCAAACACGAGGCTTTGCCGAGTGTTTGGCAACTGAAGAATCTTTTCCCGAGGGTTTAGATTCCTCTATCTTACCCACAAGGGGGTGAATGATTCTTTTTCTCTTACCCTGTTCTTCCAATGTGTATCATATACACAATGTAATGACAACGTTACATGCTAAATTCAGGGTTGACGTGTCGTTGATGGATTGTTGACGTGACGTCATTGTATTGTTGAAGTGACGTCACACCATTGTTATGAATAGGGGAATCCCCCCGTCTCAGCCCTAGGGCGGAGACAGATAAATCTAGCACCGGCAAAACGGGAGATAAATCTGTCAGGTGTGGGAGAAAAGGAAATCTCACACCGGTAAAAGTGCGAATACACCTGTCCAGGGTAAGAGAAATATCTGTCCCATTCTGTCTGTTCATTTAATGACGTTCCAGGGTTCAAATGTTCCAACCTGAATGACATCATTTGGTACATAAGTCAAAAATCCATGCCCACCAGATTTTGAACATGCTTCCGTTCCTGAAAATATCTTGACCTCTCCAGAGCCCGTATTTTCAAAGTCGAGATTGTATGCTTCAGTCTAATTATTTTTATTCTGGTGATAAAATGATACTAAAGCACATTTTTCAATTATTTCTATGGATTTTGAAAAGCCTTTGTTTAATGACTTTTTTAATGTTGGTTTGAGCCAAAATCCGTGCTTGAACATGAGAATGGTTTCATGAATACAAGCGGCATTGAAGCACAAGCAGGCTTGTGAATGCGCGGCTGAAATGACCTGATGATTTGTCAAAGTGATGAAGGATAGGAAATCAAACTTAATACGATATGACAACATCGGGAACCGAAAGTTTCCCTTTCAATATGACTGATCAATTTCCTGATATATCTGAGAAAGAGAGATGAACGAAGGACACACACAGGTTGTTTCACCTATGTATTTGGTAGTTGACACATTATGCCACCAATGAATGAATTACACTGCACCATACGGCGGTTTCGTCGCTCGTGGACTCATCGTTTATAGTAAAAAGAATCAGTTTGATTCGCTGAAAGCGTCTGAAGAAATCTTCCAAACTTACTCGACTCACACAATTCAACCAGAATACACCCTGGAAGAAGGAGGGTTTTTTTCCTTCTTTTAACTATATTTTGTTCAGGTTAATTAAACAGAAAGCATGTATATCACAGCGTGAATACACAAAAACAAAACAAAAACTCATGAAATTATGTGTTCCAGAAGAGAAAGAATCTTGATAAAATATACTTGGGCAAGTCTCACGTCAACCAAAGGTTAAAAAATATGTAAGCACTTCTTTAATCTCCGAAAATGGTGGGAATTAAAGGTTAACTTGATAAAAAATAGTCTTATTTGAGGAATTCCATCTCGTTTGATTTTGTTACGCGCTATACTCATCTGATATTCGATGTATATTATATTATTTAATATTGAACCTGGTCTTTTACATGTAGCATAACCTTATACGTTACTGACTCTGTAATAATGTAATGCACCATAATATAACCCGATAGGTTACATTATATATCAGTGGCGAATCCAGATGGGTTTTTTGGGCTTCAGAACCCCCCCCCCTGATAATTTTCTGTAAAAAACATGTGTTTTCATCATTTTTCTCAATTTTCCCCCACTTGGAACCCCAAGTTACACTGTATATATCTAGCTAAGCTGGTATGTTGTATTAAATGTAATATAGCTTACCTGGTTTAGCTTGTACGTTACGTTATATGTAAAACATCTCAACTAGCTAAGCTTGTGAGTTACATTATATGTAAAACATCTCAACTAGCTAAGCTTGTGAGTTACATTATATATAATATGTCTTAACTAGTTAAGATTGTATGTATAGTATGTCATACATCTGAACCAACTAAGCCTTTATATTACATTAAATAAATATTGCTTAACTAGCTAAGCTGGTATGTTACAATATATGAAATATATCCTAACTAGCTAAGCTGGTATGTTACAATATATGAAATATATCCTAACTAGCTAAGCTGGTATGTTACTTTATATGAAATATCCTAACTAGCTAAGCGTATATGTTACATTAAATAAATATTGCTTAACTAGTTAAGCTTGTACCTTACATTATATGAAATAAATCCTAACTAGCTAAGCTGGTATGTTACGTTATATGCAATATATCCTAACTAGCTAAGCTGGTATGTTACATCCGTTATATGAAATATATCCTAACTAGCTAAGCTGGTATGTTACTATATATGAAATATCCTAACTAGCTAAGCGTATATGTTACATTAAATAAATATTGCTTAACTAGTTAGGCTTGTACCTTACATTATATGAAATAAATCCTAACTAGCTAAGCTGGTATGTTACGTTATATTAAATATATCCTAACTAGCTAAGCTGGTATGTTACAATATATGAAATATATCCTAACTAGCTAAGCTGGGAGGTTACATTATATGAAATATATCCTAACTAGCTAAGCTGGGAGGTTACATTATATGAAATATATCCTAACTAGCTAAGCTGGTATGTTACAATATATGAAATATATCCTAACTAGCTAAGCTGGTACGTTACTTTATATGAAATATCCTAACTAGCTAAGCGTCTATGTTACATTAAATAAATATTGCTTAACTAGTTAAGCTTGTACCTTTCATTATATGAAATAAATCCTAACTAGCTAAGCTGGTATGTTACGGTAGACGTAATATATCCTAACTAGCTAAGCTGGTATGTTACGTTATATTAAATATATCCTAACTAGCTAAGCTGGTATGTTACGTTATATTAAATATATCCTAACTAGCTAAGCTGGTATGTTACATTATATGAAATATATCCTAACTAGCTTAGCTGGTATGTTACGTTATATGTAATATATCCTAACTAGCTTAGCTGGTATGTTACGTTATATGAAATATATCCTAACTAGCTAAGCTGGTATGTTACATTATATGTAATATATCCTAACTAGCTAAGCTGGTATGTTACGTTATATGAAATATATCCTAACTAGCTCAGTTGGTATGTTACTGTACATTTTGTGTTATACGTCTCAAGCTAGCCTTGTATTTAACTTCAAATGTATACAACATAACCTAGCATTACTTATAACGTGACATTTTTGATATTTGATATATTTTGATATCATATGTATTGGAAATATTTAAATGAATGCTTACATGATATACTTGTAAAGATACGGATCGTGAATTTAAATACCCCGCGAGTAATTATACAGATACTCTTAAACATTGATTATTGATAATATGTTGTTCATCTGAAGAATTCAAATCCACAGGAACGAGTCGTTTGAAAAGCTGCAGTGGAAATAAACAGCTTACTGTAGGTCTTATAATTGTGTCTAACGGTTTGCGTAATAAGATAAGACTATTCATTTCGTTATATATCCATGAATAATCTACATCTGTAACAGGTTAACTACATTTTTTTACAAAAACATCTTTTTGTACCATTTTAAATTGTAAAGTGACTTTGGATTATAACATGTCACCAAGTGTATGAAGTTTTATTGAATTGTTATAAATGAAAAAAATATCCACACTGTTTTAAATTTAATACAATGATTTATAAATACATCCAAACAAAGCTTTTACACTTCCAATGTCTTTAACATACAATATATGTCGTTGCCTTTTTTGCCTTAACTTACTTACTTTTATGTTAATGGCCCTGCTGTCTCCACGCGCAGGTTATTTTATAGATAATTCGGCTCGTTACGACAGAGTTCGACTACACACTACAGCATTTCCATTAACATACCAGTTTATGTTTTACAGGTATGTATACAAATTAATTATGTGTTCAACAAATATACAGGCGTGTAACTTAAACCATCCAATGATGACTACACACATATGTGTACATCCGGGTGACCAGGTTTATCAACACATGTGTGTGACTTTCCGATACTACCCTCTCGGGAGGGTCATATACAAGAGGGTCATATACATGTACAGTTACATGTATATTATATAAAAGTAGCTAGGTAAATTGATTTGAGCATCACGTAGAACTTGATAACCATGTAGCCACTTCACCGGAAGGAAGAGTGAGTCCATACCTACAGCATCTATTACTAGGGCTGTACACAATACACACGTGACTGCTTAGTGTGTGTTAGTGTGTGTTAATGTTGATACAGGGATACCGGAATGCACCATCTGAAAGGTTGTTGATAGTTGTAAGATTCAGCAGTGTGTATGGGAGGTAAACATTCCTTCCCTCGGGTGTCTCTACCTGGGGATAGAGTGGTGCTTATCACAGGAGCAAATCAAGGTATGTATACCCACTTACACGTGTAATGTAGAATGGGAGTTGCACTTCCGTGTTTACAACATATACTGTACATATACATAAGTAAAAGGATATAAATAACCTTCGTTTTATATCATAGATAACACCGATCTGCTTTTTAATACATATATAGTTAAGATAAAATATGACTGCTTCCGTCAGGTAATTGTACGGTAGGTCACATATTTCTTCGATATCGCCCTAAGATATTATCGTGTTTGTCGTGTTTGTGTACTAGAGGACTTAGTCACGTGGTGTAATGTTTACATGTACATTCTATATCTTTTATATTATTATCACTAGAATCGTTATCGTGTATGATTTGTGTTTTAACTTTGTATAGGATTATTTTTATGGGACGCTGTTTTCTCTCCTAACATTTGAACGTTGACTTCGAGCACAGGCGCATGCAACTGCTGTTAATTTTGATCTTGTTATAGACTTTCAGTCGCTGGGTACTTTATATACAAATATTTGGATATGGCGTACCCAGCGACTGAAATTCTAACAAGAGCAATTGAGATATAACTATTCAGCGACTGAATCACACATCTATAGTCCGGGTATCACATAATCATTATTGCAGATACTCGGAATCACCCAATCACTATTGCAACGTCAGCAATTACTGATGATTAAATTACCCTTGAACAAGCATTAATCATGTACAGTAATACCTCGACATAATGTCCCTCGTTTCATTTGCCACCTCGCTTTCCGCCAATTTATTTCACGGTCTATTGCTTTTTTAAGAATCTTTATAAGATTCCCTCAATGTTTCGGCATACCCCTATATAACGCCCAATGTTTTTCTCTGGACAAACGGTGGCAGTATAACGAGGTTTTACTGTTCAGTTAAGCATCTAGACAAATTTTGAAAATGAAATAGGGCCCTTAATTAAATGCAGTATGTTCACACTAACTGTTGATTGGGTAATATTCTATTTCCCTGTGACGTTTGAAGGCCCGTGACTTGTTCAAATTTTTGTCATAGTTTTATCGATTTTGCGCTCGAATCACTGTTTGGTAGTCACTTCGATATTCTCTGTATCATTGGCTTTATTGTCTGCATTTTAGTGGTCATGTTTGCACAAGTGCATTGTAAGTCATACGATATCTTCCGCTATTTTACTTTGTCTCCTTTCGATGTTTAGAAAAAGAATTAATACTGAAATGGTCGCTTTAATGAAGCCTCCCTAACGTGCTGTTCTGTGCATTAGGTATCGGGTACCATACAGCAAAATGGATCGCCATGATGGGAGCCAGGGTAATTATTGCCTGTCGGTCAGAGGAAAAGGCAAGAGAGGTATGTATTATGTAATCCATTGTACACGAGGTGGCCTGGATATTTTGTATATGGTTTTCCAACAGCTCAATCATACTAAATATGTTTGTTATCCTATGTCATAACTACTTCGGTAAATATTAAATTTCTGGGTTCAATTGAACTATTCCCTAAATAAAATATGACGTTAACCTTTGAATCACAAATAATGAATAAACTCGTATTTTGTTAAAAACTGTTTTATTCTGGTCACTTATACCTGGTAGGGCAATAATTGTTTTATCTGTTAGATATTTCAAACTGCTTTTTTGGTTATTTGTCAATATGAGGGTATCATGAAAAACATTCTATTTCTTTTTGTATTTTAATCACGCCAGGCTATCAAACGCATGAATACAGAGTTCCTGGAAGACAAAGGTAAAGGAACAGAAGGTGTTTCTGACCTAGAAGAGTTGAATGTGTCCTTTATGAAGCTAGACAACGCGTCATTAAAATCGGTGATGGCTTTAGTCGAGGAGTTCAAGGCCAGTGGACTCAAACTTCACACACTCATATGTAACGCTGGCATTGGAGTTCACAAGCAAGGTCAGCTAACACCCGTTTTAGTTACATCTTTATGTTGTAGTATATTAAATGTATAATTAGAGAACCATATATCTACTTTTGCGTTACATGTTGATGATAAATATCAACCAAATTAAGTTGTTTTCATAGCACTATAAGTGCAATGACGGAAATGTCGTCATAAGGGGGAGTTTTATTACCTTTTTCCTCCGTAAATTACCGATACCACAATAAATTGCGACTTAAGTAGAGCAGTTACTACTATAGGTCATTGTTATTCAATATAATCTTAAATGAGACCGTTCTAAAACCTTTCAGGAAACATACTTTGCATAAGCCGGTGAAAATACCGTTGTTGTAACTCCTTTTTGGGAGAATTTTCCTACCTAAAGAAAACAAAATGGGTTTAGTTTAATGTATTAAAACTAAATATCTGTTTCAAATTTGCTATTTCTTTACAGAATACACAGAGGACGAAAATGAATTCCTATTCCAGGTATTGACAGTAACATGAAAAATTAAATTAATTTAATGTGATTATTCATAATTAACATGTAAAATTCTGCATCCAAAGGATTATTTTTTCCATATTATTTGAATCGATGTTAATACTAAAGAAGAGAATACCGAATTGGCAGCAACACGGTTTGAAATAAACATCGATACAACTAGGGCAAAGTATGAACAAAATTACATTTTTACACTTTTAACCGTACCCTCTTCTTAATTAATTAACTAATCGATATACTGATGATCTGAGAAAGCATATCAGTGAGTTTATTGGACACGAAAGATATCTACAGATTTCTTAACTATTACATTCTACATGTATGAGACTAATAAATAATTGCAAACTCAGCAAACTTTGTCGAGGCCACAATGTTTGAAGTGTTGCGATAAAAGTTTCACTTTTCATTTTATCAGGTGAATTATCTAAGCCATTTCCTGCTGACCGCGCATCTGTTACCAATTATGAAGACTTCCGGTCCAGACTGTCGTGTGATTCTTGTCTCTAGCGTAGCCCACAGGATGGTATCCTTCCAGTTAGACGAGATTCAGGGCAAGCAGTTCACAGAGAACACGTTTGACGGAATGAAATTCTACAATAGGTCGAAGTTATATCAGGTCTGAATGGAAATCTGTTTTACACTATATTGAGCAGTTAATTAAATGATGATTCTGCTGCTGCTGCTGCTGATGATGATGATGATGGTTGATATAATATTCGAAGAAAAATTAAGAGGGATAGTGCTAGAACAATGTTAAAGATAAAGGCTACCTTCCTCGGTCAGCCTTGTGCTGAGGGCCGTTTAACAAAGTTTATCATGTTTTCCCCTGTGTATAACAAAATCATAAACTTGCTTATGTTTAGCTCCTACTATTGTGCATTTTGCTGTTTCCCTCAAAAAGAATAATGCATGCAGGTATTTTCTAATCTACACATTATATAGTTCATCAATAAAAGTGTTAGGTTTCATCACTCAATGTGTTTTACATGAACTAATCAGTTGCTATACACTAATATAACCATTTACTGCAAACAAGATTTGGTTCCAATTATGTAAGCGACCTTTTCATGCCATGGCATCCTAACGTCAGTATTCCATCCTCGACGTCATTTTGTCAGTCATTTATGTTCTATTCAAGTTTCTAGAAATTAATTTGAATATTTATGAATAAAGTTAAATACATGTTATAAAGTCACACCACACAAATGGCTTTATCGTATCTTCGTCACGGAAACACTCGTATAAACTTTTATCGCCGTTTTGGTACATGTAGCTTTGACATGTACCATATACCTGTGTTTTAATGTAGCTGTCATTCTTCACGTTTTAATTATTCTTTTATAATCTTTGTGAATATTTAGTATCAAATCCTAATCATTTTATGGAAATATCTCTTCTTTAATTTTTTCGTGAAGAACTATTTCAAAAAGGCGTCACTGATCACAGTAGAGAAATACTCATATTCGTTCTAACACATGTACTTTTTTTATCTTTAAAATTAAATACCGAAAATGTATTTCTATGGCTATATTGATTGTCCTTACATTGTTGCTGATTAAAAATTGAATATGTCCTATTGTTTTTCACAGATTATGCAAATGTTTAGTATGAACCGTCGATTGGCAGACAGCAATGTTACAGTGACGTCATTACATCCGGGTGTTGTAGAAACTGGTCTGCTGGACACTTTCGGTGGTGGAGTTTCTGGTGCGGGACTGAGACTGCTACGGGGTGTAGGTGAGAGAAAAAAACATGATAATTCGATAACATAATTGTATTATTTTAGTTATTGTTAACCATAACTGAAAGTCACTTACTATCATTTGCATGTACTTTCGAAGAAAATAATGGTATCGAATATTCAATTCACTTGCTGCAATAATTCTTGTTTGACGTATTTCGCAGTGTGGAAATGCTAGGGGTTTTTGGCGGGAATATGAACTTATAGATGATTAATTATAGATATGTAGGATGTAAAGATTTGAGAAGCCTTGCCAACGCGTAGATTACAGCACCGCACTCAGTTAAGAGTAAAGAGTAGATAATTATTTTACGATATATCATACCTGTTGATTACAGGTGGGTCTAAGACGTCTTTTGAAGGTGCTTGGACGACGATTAACGCTGCTGTAAACCCAAAGTTGGCAGGCGTACGGGATGTCTACTTCTCTGATTCTAAACCAAGCACGGTGTCTGGACAATCAAGGTAGGTAGTCAGAACATTGTTCAAGATATATAACTGTCAGGAAAATGGATGGATCGGCTTAATAATGGTGAATTTCACACTTAGGTTAAATATACTGATTGATTGTAAGGTTGTGATAAACACCGTTTACTATCAACGATATAATACTTGAATCATGACTCCAATGCAACGATATTTGGTGCTCCAGAAATATATGTTTCTCTAGAATTCAAAGTGTAACCGGGTTTATTCTAATATTCTAGAAAACATATGCAGCTAAAATTAGTAACAACTAATACCTGTAAATTACAAATGGATCGAAGACGTCATTTGGAGGTGAATTTGAAAAATATATTTGATACATATATATTCAAACTCATAGTTATTATTCCTATTAGATTAAAAGCTTACCAAATCTGCATTGCTGTTTGAAATGCTGAATTAATATTCATTTAAGGTATACTTCTTGACCTTTGGTGTAAACAATTTAATTCATTTTTAGGAACAAACGGGATCAAGAAAAAATATGGACTTACACATTGACATGTTTGAAGGAACATCTTAATGAAGACATCATCAAAGACTTGGAGGGAACGTTTAGAGAAATGTCATAGGATGTCGTCAGATAGCTTTTACATTAAAGATGCGTGCCCCACTGCCGGCAAAACAAAAGAGAATTCCACTGTAATTTCCATCCATTAAGTTATCTCCCCTTTATATCGTTTTATATACTATATAACTGAACAACGAGTAGCCGAGGTACTAAGCTGACTTAATGGCTTTAGATGATCAGAATGACAGCATATGTTTGAATGATGGTCTGGTCCCAATGAATGCTGTTGCTTTGTTTGTCAAAAGTGATGATTTTAAGCAGCGGTCCGGTGATCCTTGTTCCTGTCTTGTTATGCTGTTTTCTACTGCATTATCAAATGTGAACGGATGTTGTTCAACAAAAATGCTAGTTCTGTTCATGATAAAAAGTGATACAGAAATATAAAAGCAATCCTATTGACGCTATCATCAGTCAGAACACCGACTATTTCGTTTTGATCATAAAGACAAGGTTATATTACTGGGTTATAATGTATCAATGTAGATTCATTTTACGTAACCATTCATAATGTATATTTTATGTACTTGAACTACATGTAATAAATGTTGTTAGTCTGTTTACGAGTTGTTGAATACAATGTATATCAATTTTTAGTTTAATTTCTGTAATAATAAAAATAAGCACATGAACTAAAGAGAAGCTTCTGCGTTTGTCATCCAATACGACACCTCTCTAAGCCCATACTCTGTAAGCCCATACGTATACTCTCTAAGCTCATACTCTGTAAGCTGAATGCGTGACAATGCTGAATCGTATACCCTTTATGCTCTATTGTAGATGTAACCCATCGACGACAGAGAAATAAAAACAATTGTACCTTTAAATTGTTGTTGTTTTTTGTGTTCCATGGCCACATTTGGTGTGTGAAGTTTTATAGCTCTTTGAGAAAATATCACATATTATTGTATTCTCTATCAGTAAACTTAACCTAATGAGTATTTATTTCTCTTTGTTATTTGTGTTTTATTCGGTATATTAAACAATTGTATTCGCTAGATATGAAAAGATGATCAGCGAAGCATCTACACGAGAACAGTTTATTACACACAGCTTCATGTTACTAGATTATCCATAACATCAATGGTCAAGATATTGCCACGTCTAAATTGGAATTAAATATGTATTTATCAACCGTTAATGGACGTATGACAAACGTAAGGGGACAAAGAAAATATCGTTCCGCCACCGTTATGAAAGACGAGTATTTTATTATAGTAATTTATAAGTAATTTTAAAGCAATTAAACATGTGTTACATTGTACCATGTATAAGAAACACGTATTTAACTGCATAATATATATATATATATATAGTTGTATGCATATAGTCAACACCAGATTTTCAAAATCAATATTGGGACGAATGCTACGTATCCTCTGCAGTAGTCATTTGAAGGTTACTTAACATGGGAGGTGCACATTCGTTCCCTCGAGTGTCCCTACATTGTACCTAGGGAGAGAGTAGTGATGATTACAGGTGCAAACCAAGGTAAGTTTTATGTAATCATATGTGTCGGTCTATAAATATGGTTATGGCAGGACACACTAACTTATTATTCGAGAAATCCTTTGAAGTATTTGATATCACAAGAGGAATTTATGAAAAGTATACTACATATTTGACATTTTATAACCAAAGGCCACAATAATTCATGTCTTTCAAATGTTGAGATATCATCAAAAATCCATGATTACTTTTTAAATAATGAAACCACTGTCCTTATTTTCCGTTATTTACAAAGATTATATTTTTATTGTATCCTCTTTGGAAGACTGAAACTGAAAAATAAATATATATATAAATATAAAAAAAGACATCAAAAATAACAAATAACACAGAAAAAAGACGTTGTTATCTTTTTGTTTTTGTGTTCGGCTTACAGCTACATGCATTTTTATTGGAATAGATGCTGCCTTTGTTCGTTTTTATAGTAACTTTTACCTTTAATGGTGAAACGAAAATTGTGTGGCAGTAATATGAAAGTGTGAAATTCATATACATGTAGCAGTTGCATCCTTGAATTAACTTGTAAACCATACTTTCATTCCTGTTGAAAGTGTTTAAAATAACTGAAATTCTGAAATACTAATATTTTTTTCTATTGCAGGCACTACTAAATAGATCGCCATGATGGGTGCTAGTGTAATTATCGCTTGTCGATCGGAGGAAAAAGCAAGACAAGTAAATATAATTGCCGTCATAAGTCAGCAATATCATGAAATCAATTACTGTACAGTACGTATACCTTCTGATAAAAAGCAAAAGAGCAACCATCATGAAATATCGTTTATTATTAGTTTGTTCAGGCAATTTGATAATACATTATTATTACAATAAAACTTATAACACTTACAACTGACGACTTGGAAAACAAGAATGATTCGACTCTTATTCTTTTATTGTTAAGTTTGAACATTTTGTGATATAAATCATATCGCATTCCTTAATTAAATCGGAGGGCGTTCTTTGGCAACATTTTTCAGTGTAAAACATTGTCTTAAACTCGCTGTTATTCCACATTTCTTATTACACATTTGTTATTCCATTTTTTCCACTCTACTTCTTGTAAACAGGAAAAATAACACATGACCCCCTTCCATGGAGTATCTCATACATGAAATGTTTGAATAATCTTGCGGCTGGCTTTATCGAAAATGGTTTAAGTACGTCTTTATTCAAACATATTTCGATTTTTCTTTTTCATCAGGCTATAGATCAAATGAACGTGGAATTTAAAGGAGAGAAGAGTAAGGGTAAGGAGGGAATTTCCGACATTGAGGAGAGCAGGAGAGCGAGGAGGCATTGATCACAACTGTCAGCTTATATATTGTCATGATGTTTAATAACAGTTGGAAGGAAAAGGCAAAGGAATCGCTCATCAGGCAAAGCCTAAAACATCCTCTCCTTAAAAACAAAAATGAGCAGTGTTTACACATCACATTGTAGTAAGGAAAGATGACCGCAGAAAAGGGATATCTATTATTGTACGGACTTGAATTGTTATTAGCTCCGAATTATCACAGTTAAGTAATATTATAAACAAGAAATCCCAAATAACGGCTAACTTCTTATACATTAGCTGATGGACGGCACATATTAATCATCCTTACACAACCACCATTCCGTCAGTCAGTAAGGAAATCAGAAGAAATATGACGTCAGAGATAAATCTCGTTTCTTTCTTAGCAAAATAACATAATATATGTTTATCAATTTATATGTATGTAACTGATAAACTGGTTTAGTAATCGCATTGAATGAAATACTTATCGTTGAATTAATATACTTTCAAGTATCTGTTCGCATGGTCTCTGTTTGACTGTTTGATAAGCACACACTAACAGCAAAACAAAATGTCTTCAGATAAGAACCAGAACTAGAATTTGACATCAGTACCATCCTTTGATGTTAATCAATCTAATTCGTTATCAGAAATAATCGAGATCAAGAAAGATTCTGGAGTTACACTCTGACATGTGTGAAGCAGTACCTTACTGAAGATATTAGTGTAGTATCTAATACGAGCATCACTTTTAAATGTCTCATCATATGTCTTAATTGTTAATTTATCTACATCACATATCTAGATATAAACGTCCCGGCTCTGCTTGCATTGTTTGAAGTCTCAATTTGTTAACAGGGGTACGAGAGCAAAATTTTAATGTTTAATTATCTTCACGAGGACGAAGCCATGGAACATAACAAATCGAAGGGAAACAAAGAATCGTGTTTTCCTATCGTAAAGCAATATATTAATTTTGAAATAAAGCAATACGCCAATAGTAAACATGATTTGGCTTCTGTGTCATTGTGTCGTCTGTGTCAGTTAGTCGAAACCCAGGTGTGGTATCACGGCCCATTTTTCTAGAAAGGCTCCGAGTAATGGAAATATGACCAGGGAAATAAAGGTCCGCGTAAATACACTAGATCTCATTGGCTTGTATTTTTTCGATCCACTTTTCCGGACACTTCATTTTCATGCTTTTTATATAGATTTCCGTGCGTTGTGTCAACATTTGCTGTGTGCAGTATTATTGTCTTTGAGAAATATCAGCAGACAGACATGAAAGTACGAAGCATATTACATGAGAACAATTAGTTAAATAATTTCACCATTTTTGCATGTTGATATATGTTTATGTGTTGATGTGTGTTTTGCCAATGTAATGAATGTAGATTAAATTAATTAAAGTCTAATATGAAATATTAGGCAGGTTTGCACAGCATAGAAGGGGTCTGCCTTTCATCTAATTTCATCTCATTTTAATCAAACATATGTAACCGTGTAATTAGAATAATTTTTATTTACATATACGTGTATGGATATACCTAGCAACAGATTTCAAATTAATATTTGTTAACATATGCTACATATCCTCTGAAGAGTCATTTTAAAGGTTGCTTAACATGGGAGTTACACAGTCGTTTCCTCGAGTGTCCCTGTCTAGGGAGAGAGTAGTGATAATCACAGGTGCAAACCAAGGTATGTATTATGTAATCACGAGTGTCAGTTTAATAACGTATTAAACAATTATTAAATAGAAATGAAGGCCGACAAGAAAACACAACGATAAGAAGAGAATGGATACCATGACTTCCACGAAATGAAACCTTCACTAAAGTCACAGATGTAATCGTGTGACACTGTCATATCTTAATTATGTGTCAGTCAAAGCAGACTTTATAATTCCTTTTTATTTAACTTACCAAAGAACAGCTCCAGAGTTTAAAAAAATAACTACCGTCGAATTTTGTCACTGTAAAATGAATCATTCCGGGTAGAAATCTACTATATTGTGTATTAATGCAAATATCGTTTTTTGTATTTGATATCAATAGAGGGAATGGTTAAATTTTAGGACGACTTTGATATAAAAGAAATCCAATGAGCTATGTCTTTTAAATTTTGGGATATTGTTGAACATGAACGATTCAATACTTAAAGTGAAACCATCATCCACGTTTTGCGCTTGTTGAACGTCATAATACGTTTTCGAAAATGTATACTTTTGCGAAATATATAAATTGAAATTAACCTCATTTAATATTTCCCGTGTTGATATATTTTTAAGATTAAAATACAATTCCTTATAAACAGGTTATAAGACTGTTTAACATGTTTGCAGTAAAAAAAAAAAGCTGAGGAATTAGAAAGAGACATTAAGTAGCTATGTTTATTTCAAATGGTATCGTTTGTTTACCTTATAAATGCTTATGTTAATAGAAAATACATTATAGGTTACTGACAGGCATGAGCCCGTTGTGTCGGTTTCATAGTCCGCCCGATTCTTGTAGAAGTTGACTAGTTTTGTAATTTATCTGGCTTGATTAGTATTAAGTACTTAACTGGTTCAAGTATAAATTGTATTTTGTGGCTAAAAATAAATCGTTTTTGATACACATTTCATTTTTCGTTGTATCCTTTCATTTATTTCGTACCACTGATGGTTCCTAAACTATATGATTTTTTAAGGTGCAGAAAAATAAATGTTTACTTTATTTCGCTTTCCGCATCTATAAACATCAAAAAGTTGAAATACGTGCACCTTTCTTAAAATTTCTTTTATTTGACATCCATTATCCCATAACTGTGAAACACAACTAGTGTAAATGTAAATCAGTATTTATGTTAGTATGTAAAACATTCTGACTGATTTGTTTTATTATTTTCTGATGTAGGCATTGGTTACCATACTGCTAAATGGATCGCCATGATGGGAGCATGTGTAATTATCGCATGTCGATCGGAGGGAAAAGCAAGACAAGTAAATATCACTGTCTTCATAAATGACTGCATTATTATTACGAAAAAAGATCTCTTCGTAATAACAAAAAAATACAATCCATAATAGAACTTACCTAAAAGAGCAATTATCATTAAATATCATCCAACTATTATCAATTTATTATCTTTACATTAATATGAAAATAAAAATACTAACCCCTACGTTTTACGGCTGGAAAAACAAGAACGATTCAACTCTGATTTTTTTGCTGTGGAGTCTGGACATTTTGTCAAATAAGCTCACAGTTCATTCCAGAATCTGATTATTGTGTCAAATTTCGCTTCTTTATGTATATGGTTCGTTTGAGACAAAGACTTACATTCCTTGGTATCACACAATGTCTCTTTTGTCATATGGCCATGGAGTGTCTCGAAACAGGAATTTATGTTGGGTAAATTTTGCAGATTGCTTTTGTTTACAATAAATATCAGTTTTACCAAAGCTAATTTACAAAGGTCTATAACTGAACGTTATATAGCTTCTTCTTTTACATCAGGCTATAGATCAAATGAACGTAGAATTCAAAGAAGAGAAAAGTAAGGGTACGGAAGGGATTGCCGACCTTGAGGAGTTGAACGTGATCTTTATGAAGCTAGACAACGCGTCCCTTAAGTCTGTGATGTCATTTGTCAGTGAATTTAAGGCCACAGGTTTTAAACTACACACACTTGTGTGCAACGCAGGCATAGGAATTCATAAGCAAGGTACAGTTTATAAAATTTGCCTTACAGGTTACTTTCATCAGAATAAGGTTAAACAGTATCTTCTCATTGTCGGTGAAAGCTATATCATTATGTATAATAAAACGCATGCTAAGATGTTTACATAAAAGATAATTGTTCAAACATTGGTCAGCATCAATTCTCAAACTTCATCCTCAATATCGATAAATAATCTACGCATTTCAAAAAGATCAGTTTTATGAGGCAAAACTATTAAATGCTGAATTACGCTAAAACTGATTATTGTATATGATATGATTGCAGAATATACAGAAGACGGACATGAACTGATATATCAGGTATTAATTTGCTAACGTTTGTTATATAATATTTAAGTAGCACGTTCTCGTATATGAAACGATAAACAATTGACAATCCTATCCACAACAACTGTTTATGTACTGTAGGAAATATTTTCAGTAAATATTACCTTACAGCGAGTATAATTATTTTTGTCATCTTTTTATATATTTGTGAGAGAAAAAAAGACCAAGAGAATACCAAAGTGTCAACAAGCACCTAATTCGAACTCAAAATCGATAAAACAGGGGCAAAAAAAAAAGAAAAAAGAAAACCTTAGACCAGGTGTTCGGAAATGGTAAGCGTCTTCTGCTTCATCGATTAAACCCGCTATGTAAATCTAGTCGAATCTGAGTAATGTCACGTCCTCACATCGAGATCTCGGGTAGTAACAACAAAACCGCAAGGCATAATCAAAACTCTCGACCTTCCTATTAACACACACAAAAAAGCATATCTCCCTGCGATATCCTGACGAAGACTTGTCCATATTCTTAATTAATTAATCATCTTTGTAAGCTCTTTGTGTAAGTTTTTCCGTCATCTATCACAGAAGTCAAGCTCTTAAGTACCGAATCAACTTCGACACGCACACACTGTAGGTACGGGAACAGTGATGTTGCTATGAAAAAATGGAAAGTTCACAATCGGAAAGTCGAAATCGTCCCGCTTATCTTAGTAAGCCGTCCCTGTTGGTTTAGTTTTTAGTAAAGATGCAGCTGAAGTTAAAAAGTCTGAGGAATCCTTTATTTTAAAATTTTGAAGATATTTATGCTCGATATGGTCAATGGATTTTATTGGTATTCTCATCGTCTTAAAAAAACCGAAAATTAAATTGAATTGAAAAATTAAATGAATTCGGACATACATATATGTTTGAAAGACTAATCAAATGATTATGAACACTAGCGTTGTTCAAACTATGATATTATCTTCTCTTCTGGTCAGGTTAACTATCTCAGTCACTTCCTGTTGACTGCGCACCTGTTACCGATTATGAAGACTTCCGGTCCTGACTGTCGCGTAATTCTGGTATCTAGCAGACAACACAGCCTGGCATCCTTCCAACTTGACGATATTCAAGACACATTCAATGGTTTGACCTTTTAAAGAAGGTCGAAGTTATACCAGGTTTCTAAATGCTCAGGGATAGAATTTTGTCAAACACTCATTTTTTACTTGTGAAATAAATATTCCTTTCATAATGACTCACTATCACCACAAAAATAGTAGCAATCTTGTTTCGTAGCTCACTTGGTCGTTGTTGAATTTGATCATCCAAATCGATTAATTAGTTATATCTAATGCTTATCTTAGCAATCAAAGACAGTTACTGTTATAGTACCATCATTAAAGAGATATTCTCAAAAGAAAATCTGAAAATATGTTTTTTATGCCAAAAGTATCACAAAAATAGACGGAACGGAAGCGCAAAATTTACCATTCCGTGTAATATAACACATAATAAAAAAAAACATTACAAATGCAATCTTTTCATTATGATATGTTTTGTTGTTGTTATTTGTGACGTCAATTATGGTTTATGAAATGAAACATGTTTAAAGTTCAAAAAAAATGTATTATTATAATGAACAATATGAAAATGATATTTCCGATATTTAAAAGCTTTGCGTATAAATATTTTCCTACTTATCGATATATAAAAATATTTCTTTCGCATATACTTAAACGCAGTAAAAATTTAGCTTATTCGACTAATATTCCAAGAGCAAAATGATTTCCAAAGATAAAATTTGAAATGCCTATACATACATTTACAATGCGTTTGGTTCATTTTACAGATCATGCAAATGTTTAGCATGAACCGCAGACTGAGTGACAGCAATGTCACAGTGACGTCATTACATCCGGGTATTGTTTGGACTGATCTCCTTGATACATTCAGTGGGACTAGACTACGAATCCTACGACGGTTTGGTTAGTGAACAGACTTTTTATCAATAATATTCATATTATTATTAAAATCAACTTAACTTTTTTATATTATTCATATCTTAAATTCACTGCCTCATTACATTTGATTCAAAAATTGCCTTTTGATTAGGTAAAAATCTACATAAACCGTCTGATTGATTTTTTTTCTTTACCAGTCACAATCGATTTTAGTAAAAGTACAAATAATAAAAAGTCTATTTATAGACTTCTCATCTACTTTTATAACACTTTTTTATCAATTCACTTGAACCCCCGTCTTCAAGATGATTTTTTACTGTAACTAGCCTTCGGTTATAAGCTAAACAAAGGGATATGCGATAATATCAGTATATTTCATAGGTGATAACTTGGGTTTTTAATGCATTTTATGTTGTAATATTTTTATTTTTTTTTATCTCTTATAATTATCTGTTATATGTTGTGGAATGTATGTGTTCTTGTTTCTGTGGGTGTTTTTTTTCATTTTCTGATCATTTAAATATGATTTGGTAATGGGTCTGTTACACAGATTCTCATCAGTCTATATACACAGATCATGGAGCTTGATGAGGGAGTCGCTTCCCTTGTATCACACGATGAAATGTCTAATAAATTCCTTTCAGCATCAAATTCACAAAATTAATCACATCCACTAACTGCAGAATTGATCTCTCGGTCTCAAGAAATCTAGTCCTATATAAATCTTTAATCTTTGAGTTTCTGTACAAGTTCTTCTACACTTTCCACCTTCTGACCAGCCTCCCTGGTAGGCGGGTCCTCTACGGAGAGGACTTCCTGACGAGGACTCGTATCAACTCCGTAGTCTGACGCTGACTTGACTGCCATAGGTTTCTTTTTAGCTTTCATGATATTAGATAACGTGGCGTATCTTGGTTCGTTGAGTCGAAGATCAGCTGTTAATACTGCCGAAATAGACACCTTAACTGTTTCCAAACCGCATCAATTTCTCGTAACACATTTAAATGTCCATCCACTTTTTCCACATTTGACACAAATGCTCCCTGAGGCCAATCTAATAAGCCGGCGGTCATCTGTCCAGTCTGGTTACAATCATCATCAATAACCTGTTAAACTAACACGACCAGGTCTATTTTCTCCTCCTCAGCAATCTTGGTAAGTGTTTTAAACACATAGAAAGACTTTTTTATATTATTCATATCTTAAATTCACTGCCTCATTACTTTTGATTCAAAAATTGCCTTTTGATTATGTAAAAATCTACATAAACCGTCTGACTGTTTTTTTTTCTTTACCAGTCAAAATCGATTTTAGTAAAAGTACAAAATAATAAAAAGTCTATTCATAGATTTCTCCTCTACTTTAAAAAAAAAAAAATATCAATTCACTTGAACTCTTCAAGATGATTTTTTTCTGTTACTAGCCTTCGGTTATAAGCTAAACAAAGGGATATGCGATAATATCAGTATATTTCATAGGTGATAACTTTGGTTTTTAATGCATTTTATGTTGTAATATTTTTCGTTTTGTATCTCTTATATTCATCTGTTATATGTTATGGAATGTCTTAAAAAAGGGTCTGATTGCCGAATTGTTTTGTCTGCACTATCTATATATCGGTATTACTTCTATGCATATACATATATGACGTGTGGTTTGCAGGTTTGTTAAAGTCCCCTTTCGAGGGATCTTGGACGTCGATTAATGCTGCTATAAATCCTGTCTTGGCAGGAGTTAGGGACGTGTACTTCTGTGACTCTCAGCCAAGCATGGAGTCAGCAAGTCAACAATCAAAGTAAGCAGTTCTTCGTATTACCATCACTGTACCCAAAACAAAACACTTTCCAGTTAACTATTGACGTATTTTATATCCTAGTATCAATTCAAAACATGATTGTCCTGTTTTTATGAATAGGAATCATCCACTTTTAATTTCTATTTCAAGTTGATTTTCGACACAGTACGCGATACTATCAATAGATCTCGAAATACTAAGTATACAATCAAAGTAGGTACATGTAGCTCTGACCACAATTGTCTAAGATTAGCAATTCCTCGTATGAACAGTCTGTCTACATAGTCGGGTCGAAGAGAGATAGTGACAAATAGTAGAACAAAACACGGACAGAAACATCTTTTTTTTTGCATGAGATGACCCCACTAATAAGATCAATCTATTGGATTAGATAACCTAATTAAAATTAGAATATTGGAACAATCAGATTCAGAACAGAATAACATTTCCAAGATCAATAACCTCGTCACTACTTCAAACTTTTACATATCTAAATAGCTATATATGTTTAAATTACTTGCAAGTAACATGAAGCAATATGGAATTACATAAGCTTTATGATTTCATTTTTCAGTTGTCTTTATAAGAGATGTTTTGAAGTAGCATTTACCTGCGTTTTAGCGTTGTTGGGTTTTTTGGGGGTTTTTTTTTTGTGCAGATGTATCATCCTTACAAAATAAACGATATACATATAGCTTTTATTGGGATAAACAGACATTTCTAAATTTCGAGTATAATGTTAAATATTTCACTTATATTACATATATGCCGATTTCAGGAATGCAGACGATCAAGAGAAACTGTGGGAATACACTCTGACATGTCTTAAAGACTACCTTACTGAAGATGTCATTAAAGCCTTGGGAAGCGACTGGTCATTAGATGTCATCAAAACCTTGAGAAGGGCCAAGTCCTAAACATTCATTCCGTCACATTTTAATAACACAAACATGACGGTGTTTTTAAACGATCATAATACTCTAGAAATTATCAAAATGCAGCTATATGAATAATGCCATTGACAATGATGGATGTTTGCTGAGCACGTGAATGGAGGACATTTTTGCTTGAAGAGCACCTTTTAGCATCATATATCATCGTATACCTGAAGCATGGTAGTTATGGTCACCTTGCTATCTATTTACCTGACGCGTGACAATAACGGTAACCTCACTAATGTATTTACCTTAGGTATGACGATATTTATCACTTCAATTCTTAACCTGAAATATGGCTATAATAGTAACATCGCCAATACATATACTTACAATAAAACCATAAAGTTTACCTCACCGGTTCATATACCTGCAGTATGACAATAATGTTCGTTACATCATAAACAGTGTGTATCCATGGCTCTGCTGTATGCTCAACCATACCAATATCCAAACCTTAAACACATTCTCCCAACCACTGTCTACTCCAGCAGTGGAACTGATTGAATGTGGATTTTGAAGAATTTAAAATTCATATTTCGCCACAAGTTTCTCAGTGTTTTTATAAATCCTCAATTCTGCTATTTAAAAACAAAATATCCCAGATATCCTAAAAAAATGAAAATTCATCCAGAGATAAATCATGATTTATTACCATATTAAGATTTTTTAGGAGAGAGAAACGACTACAAAGGGTCATTTTTCATCTTTATCAAGATTATACGCCATTGAGAGAAGTGTACAAAATGTTTAAGATATGAGAATGTGTTTCCGATGTAAAAATCAACAACACTAAAATACTTTGTTAAATTTATTGAACAATATCAAAACGAAGTAATAATCTTATCCAGTTCATGTGTAAATAAATATTAATAAAATACATTTAGCTCTTGCAAAGTATACATGAAATTCATCAGGTCAATGAAATATATAAATATATAAAATCCATATTTCCTGAGCGTCTACTGGTCATGTCAAAAACGACAAGCTGCGTTAGGTTACCCTTATTGTTATAATGACACATGTACAATTGATCAGAAAATAACTTCACATGAATTGTTTTACCATAAGTAAGGATTTTGACTGGTTATAATAAGTTATTTATACAAACAATTTAAAAAAATAAATGCGACAGGAATAATATGTAGTAGTTTCTGTTGGAAAAAAGGAAGTGTTAAGAATGCATAATTCTAACAATGTATACTTGTATGTATCAAGGCGTTTTTGTCCACAATGTTTCTGATGTTTTTGATGTTGACGCCATGTCATTACTATTCGACAGCTCCAGAAACCTAAGATGTCGAAAAGCATATGCCAGCCTAATTGTTTTTAGCTCACCTGGCCCGAAGATATTTAAATATTAGACAACTCAGCACATTGACAGGATAAAACATAGTTTAAGTGCAAAGCTTATACGCGATGATACGGAGCTACGAAAGAGATGATTATAATAATAATATACAACATGTATATAGTACCCTATATAATTTGTAAAATTACTCTAAAGCGCTTTATTGTGTAACGAAACAATTAATTCACAAACCTTATGTTGAACCTACCAATCACGAGCACTTACTCCTCCACTTAATCGAGCAGGCGTAATTTAATCGGTAAGTTGCAGGATTTCCGCTGATGCGATCGAACTAAAATTTTGCATATAATGAGGTGATTGAGTTTACTGTGTAAACAAGAAAGAAAACGATTATAAAAGGTCATTTAACGAATACTTGGGAACGCGAAAACCCCGTTGCGCACTCATTTCTATGCTGGGCACTCATTAGGGGACCCCCTTACAGTTGGTGATACAAAATAATGGTGTAGATCTTTCAGTGTTCAGATGTGGTTCATAGACAATATGAATGTCCGATGTATTACAGGAAAATGACATGAACCACTTAGGTGTTCGACTGGTAGAACAGCCCAATCCGTCGACACAACGATCGTAAAACATTTTTATTAACATTTTTGTGTTCAAAAAAGCATGTGATATAAGGGTGCACGTGAGAACCATTCAATCCCCGATGATGTGACATAAGGGTGAGAACCATTCAATCCCTGATAATGTGACATAAGGATGAGGACCATTCAATCCCTGATGATGTGACATAAGGATGAGAACCATTCAATCCCTGATGATGTGACATAAGGGTGAGAATCATTCAATCCCTGATGATGTGACATAAGGGTGAGAACCCTTATGTTACATCATCAGGGATTGAATGATTCTCACCATTATGTCACATCATCAGGGATTGAACGGTTCTCACCCTTATGTCACATCACCAGGGATTGAATGGTTCTCACCCTTGTGTCACATCATCAGGGATTGAATGGCTCTCGCCCTTATGTCACATCATCATGGATTGAATGGTCCTCGCCCTTATGTCACATCATCATGGATTGAATGGTCCTCGCCCTTATGTCACATCATCATGGATTGAATGGTTCTCGCCCTTATGTCAAATCATCAGGGATTGAATGGTTCTCACCCTTGTGTCACATCATCAGGGATTGAATGGTCCTAACCCTTATGTTACATCATAAGGGTGAGAACCATTCAATCCCTGGTGATGTGACATAAGGGTGAGAACCGTTCAATCCCTGATGATGTGACATAAGGATGAGAACCATTGAATCCCTGATGATGTGACATAAGGGGGAGGACGATTCAATCCCTGATGATGTGACATAAGGATGAGGCCCATTCAATCCCTGATGATGTGACATTAGGGCGAGGACCATTCAATCCCTGAAGATGTGACATAAGGGTGAGAACCATTCAATCCATGATGATGTGACATAAGGGCGAGAGCCATTCAATCCCTGATGATGTGACATTAGGGCGAGGACCATTCAATCCCTGATTATGTGACATAAGGGCGAGGACCATTCAATCCCTTATGATGTGACATAAGGGCGAGAACCATTCAATCCCTGATGATGTAACATAAGGGTTAGGACCATTCAATCCCTGATGATGTGACATAAGGGTGAGAACCATTCAATCCCTGATGATGTGACATAAGGGCGAGGACCATTCAATCCCTGATGATGTTACATAAGGGCGAGAACCATTCAATCCCTGATGATGTGACATAAGGGCGAGGACCATTCAATCCCTGATTATGTGACATAAGGGCGAGGACCATTCAATCCCTGATGATGTTACATAAGGGCGAGAACCATTCAATCCCTGATGATGTGACATAAGGGAGAGAACCATTCAATCCCCGATGATGTGACATAAGGATGAGGACCATTCAATCCCTGATTATGTGACATAAGGGCGAGGACCATTCAATCCCTGAAGATGTGACATAAGGGTGAGAACCATTCAATCCCTGATGATATGACATAAGAGCGAGGACCATTCAATCCCAAAATTTAGTCCCTTTGGCCCAAGGATGCTCCAGACCAAATTAGGATAAAATCCCTTAATCCATGTACGGTAAAAGAAAGATTTCAAATGTTTTTGCCTATATTTTCCCTATTGGGCCCCGCAACTCTGCCTCCAAGGGGTCCAAACCCATCGTTCATACAAAATTAGGTCCCCTTGGCCGAAGGATGCTCCAGACCAAATAAGGATAAAATACTTTATCCTTACAATACTAGGAGAAAAAGGATTTTAAAGGTTTTACCTCTCTTTCCCCTATTTTGCCCCACCCCTCTGCCCCCAGGGGGGGCCACACCCACCGTTTATACAAACATTGAGTCCCCTTGGTCTAAGGATGCTCCAGACTAAATTAGGGTAAAATTCCTTAATTCCTACAGTAGATGAAGGATTTTAAAGGTTTAACCTCTATTTCCCCTATTCGGCCCCACCTCTCTGCCCCCAGGGGGACCACACCCACCATTTATACAAAATTGAGTCCCCTTGGCCTAAGGATGCTCCAGACCAAATTTAGTCCAAATCCACTGGGCCGTTCAGGACAAGTAGTGTTTTTAAAGGAAAGTTGACGGACAGACGACGGACGAAACGGTGAACTCCATTTACTTGCCTTCGGGCAGGTGAGCTAAAAAAAAATCAATTTTTATGAAGGTTTAACAGCCTCTGGTATATCTCGTAACTAACATAGGCATCAGTGGCTGCATACTTCTTCTGGGCCTCCGAGAGAGGATACCGGGACCAGTCACTCTTTCTAATCTCAGGGGTTTTATTAATTTTTTGTTTAAACAGATGACGTGTTAAACCATCCAAACTCCAATTCTCTGATGTTTTCAGCACACTGTTTGCGAACAGTGCTAGATCCACCATGGAGTTTTTGATAATTGGTTGTACCTGTATATCAAAGTCTCTCTCCAGCTTCCACAGATCCGACTCAATTCCAACACCCACCTTCTTGATGTTGCTGTTCTTCAGAAGTCTGTTAAGTTGTGGAGGTATACATTGCATGGTAGACAGATGAAACAGGTAGCATCGCTCAGGTCCTGTACACAGCTGAACTACAAACAATATATAGATCTATATAGTCAGATTTTGAACTGCAAACAATTTATACATAATCAGATTTCAAACTACAAACAATTTATAGATAAATATAATCATATTTAAATTCTTATGTATAACTTTGAAATATTGACATTTACTTTTAATTAGGATCCAAATAAGTGTGTATAAATGTAGTTCATTAACCCTTTTAAGGACATCTTCATATATTAATGACAAATATACATGTGAATTTAACAGTATAACCACAACCTTATGAGTGTAGACCATTGTTTCATTTGCAACCTGCAGCACCATCAACATGGTTTAAGTCTGAAGTCTTACCTACAGCAGTTGGGTCCTGTTGTCCCTGCCTATAGGTAACTGGCCACTCCATGTCAAAGCCCAGGAAATTCAATTCTCCCGTCACACTTGACTCTATCTCCTCACACAGTGCATTACAGTCGTTTTTGTGGGAGGAGTAAGTTAGTGTACCAGTGAATAACATCTCTGGTAGAAAATCATCCATTCTTTTCTGGAACTCTGCCGCAGCTAAACACTGCCTTTCTTCCTTGCTGTTACATTTCGACACTGTATTATCAAATTTACTCATTTTAGTACCTGGTCCACCTTGTGCTGAAGTTGAACTGATTTGTATGGAGTTTTCATCCTTATGCACCGAGTTCCCTGCCTTGTTATTTACTGACGCTGCACTGTCTAACACTTCATTCTCTGTGTCTGATTTCTGTACTTTACACATTGCCAACCAGTCAGGAAGTTGACGTCGCTTTCTGGATGTCATGTTTTCTTCAGGCCACCATACTCAATATCAAAGTGTGGTAAAACTGGAATTCTGTAGACCCACTTTGATCCATGGCCATCTAAAGTGTACTGCAAAATCATGAAAACATGAATTCATCTTTTAATAGACTTCTATATCTTATATACATGTTACTTTCTATAGAACAATCATCTTGATATGTGTCATTTGTCAAAGGAAATTGTGATTAAAGCATCAAGTGACATTACCAGAAAGCTTGTTTTTTTGTTATAGAAAATAAATAAACCCCTTTGAGCATGATCTTCTATTTTTCCTCTTGTTTTTCTACATGTATTGTTTTTTGACCAACCCCATCTGCTACCATTCTTCAGTAAGTGTTTGGCATGAAAATGTGTATTAAGATATTAAGCAAGTGTGTAATACTAATAGCAGATAGTTGCCCACCGGGTTCAAACCTCCGACCCTCAAACTCTAGACGGATGCACTGGTCACTGGCGATAACCCAGTCCAGTTAGGCTATACATTCTTCTCCATTTTTTTCTGATTCTTCACTCAAAAAGACAACACTATTTACAACCCAAGTTTGGCTACCCCTTGCCTTGCACTCGACCAGTACTTGAAACAAGATGTTGGTCACGGGCATTGTTTTTGTAAAAGGAGCAGAAAGATGCACAGCAAGACCAGGATTCGAACCCAGGACCCTCCAAACTCTAGACAGACGTTCTACTAATTTATCTACCTGGTCGCCTATCCAGTCCATGCAGTACCACTACAGGTTAGCCCCAGGACCTTTGGCCCTGACACCAGACTTACTAACTTAGACCTTTTGACAGATAGATGTCTGGTGTAGGACCAGAGTGCACTATAACATGAAAACATGGATTTCTCCGACACCGTTTGGTATCGGAGAGTTTTGAGGTGCTGACAAAAAAGCTCCACTATGACACAACACATACCTCACATATATCAATGTATGTGTTGTGCAATAGTACGTTTTGTTGTCAGCACCTCAAAACTCTCCATTATCAAACGGTGTCAGAGAATTCCACGTTTTCATAGAGCAGTGTGTTCTGGCCGCACACCAGACATCGATATATCTGTCAAAATGTTTAAGTCTGGTGTCAGGGCCAGAGGAGACTTGGGCTACGCTACAGCAGAGACATACATGTATATGTCTCTGGCTACAGGTTTACCCCATTTGCAAATAAGGTGAAGCTTTATTACAAAAGTGGGTGTAAATTTAGCTGAAAGTAGGCCTACGTACTTGTCATTATGACAAGTCAATCTCTTTAGTTACCAAATTCAATGCTACAAAATGACACCTTACCTCAAGTTCACATGGGTCATGTACAGCTTAGTTTCTTAATTACTTTAGCTGTCATTTTTTTATCTACAAAAATGTACATGTACATCACAAATGTATGACTTGTTATCATGCCATCTTGAAGCTACAGTATATATTTGTAACACTACAGGGATCTGCATCTGGTGAAAATAAAAAATGATCTCCCCTGCCCTACTATATTTTCTCATTTTTATATACAAGATGCAGACAGGTACAAGAGCACTGTTAAATCTGGCTATAGGCCCTAATGTATACCCAGGTTTGCTGGTGCTCCAGTACTGTACATGGCAGATGTAATAGTCAAGTGTGACTGCGTCCATGTACGCATATATACATGCCAACTTTTTAAAATTTCCATGGGGGAGATAACATCTGCTCAGAATTAAAGCCATAAATTATAATGTGCGTATGTACACCCTAGGGATGAATAATACTTTTAAATGGCATTTTTTGGCTGTTCTTTCAGATGAAATCATCAGATCTTAGAAAATAGGAATAGTTTAGGAAATTCACTGATTGAAAATGCTCAATTTAAGGGTCCAAAATTGGGAGTCTTCCTCCTCAATTAAGGGAGAGTTGGCAAGTATGCGTATGCGTACGATGTAGATGCCTGATTGCCTGTGGCAATTTAATGTCAACAAGAGGATCGAATACCGGCCCTGCTGTTGTTTAATGTAAGACAGGAACAACAGCGATTCGTTACAATTTTCTGAAATACACATATGTTATACACAATTATAACGCCCTACCTGTAGGGACTCCTTATAATTAGCTGCGATAACGTAGCTTTCTGACGACGAGAGATTTTTTTTATATTGCGCCAGCCGGGTCAGAGGAGGCCGGGTATTAATATTAGTAACGTTACTATGGACTCATGGGCACAACCCTACATGTAGCCACGGACTTAGATAACCTAATTTAAGCTAATATAATTCCGTGATGTAGCTATGTGATGTGTGCATCAGAACACATTATTTTACATATTTACATGTATGTCATAACACCGTCTGCAAAAGAAAGTTGTATTGCACCTTAGTGACCTTCCAATGAACATGTAACAGCTGTCGCTCAAAGAACACCACTTAGTTGAAATACTGTACATGTGATGGTTAAAAAGAAAGTAGGCACGCGCAAGTTTCCGGTGTAAGGGGAGATTACTCTGTTGCGACTATCGACTAGCTACTGTACAGACTATTTAAAACAGTGAAAATAAACTATCGTTATGGAACTTTTTAATGAAGTAAATGCTTTCTCCAGATGAAAGTCAGGGACCGCAGGGACCTGATTATTTGTTACGGCTATAAATGTGGACATAAACTAAGTGTTCAGAGTACATATTGTTTTATGGGTTTAGATCGACTTTCGGTGAAAATTACTCTCCCAATGATCAAATATCGTATATATGATCATTGGGGTGTCATTTTTACCTAAAGTCAATCTAAACCCATAAAGCATGTAAAATTACTTTGAACACAATAGTTTAGGGCCAAAAAGCTCTAACAAATGCCCAGGGACCACATACAGGGACATGCATGAGAATATGTTACAGCTATGTTTGGACCTCACTAACGGGTGTTTAGAGTATTTTCATCATTTGGGGTGACATTTTAACCGAAAGTTGAACTAAACCCCTAAAACGTATAGCGTTACACTGAACACCTTAGTTTAGATCCAAATACAGGTGTAACAAATTTCCAGGACCGTGTTAGGGACAGTTTATCAAGCCGAATCAAACGTGAACTGAAAAAAACCTAATGGAACTCCGTCAGATATTTGATAAACATTTGTTTTAAGTGGCACTCCTTAAAGTTAATTTAAAAAGAAATAATATTTAGGGAATAACCAGGAATTTATTTGGGTAAAAATTAACTATATAGTTGCTCTTTGCATAAATCAACGAAACCGTTTATGCAAAAATATGCACGTTTTTTTCGGTATATGCACGATTATTCCCAGATTCGAATCAGGGGTCTTCTAAACTCTAGACGGGCGCTCTGTCAATTTAGCTATCTGGTCACCGGTAATCCGTCCCGTCCAGTTATAAGGGTTATACGATATAAACTGCATAGTGTATGTAGCCAATCTAGCAGCGGGTGAATAGCCAAAATTGAACTATTTTTCGGTACTTTGTCATGAAAACCGTGAAGTCATGCTATAATGTTCCAGCTATCGTTACGTCCTATACAGTTTTATCTTCTTCATATTTTTCATCATACGTGTAGTTCAAATAGCTTAATTAACACTCTTAACTCTGGCTTTATCATCAGGCCACGAAACTTTTTCATAGATGACCTTTCCAGCTGATGTACATTTGGCTTCACAGCTTTTTTGGTATCCTTTGAAATGTGTTTTTTTCCCTGGCAACTTGCAAATGTCCCAGTCGAGCAAGTCCAATAGTTTTATATGCTGAACTCCTCGTCATAGTCACATTGATTTTCATGCCAAACTCAGATTCTGTGTTCAAACCTAACTTCTTGTTCCAGTGATAAATTAATAAAATTTCACTTTTTATCTATGATTTGGAAGAATTTTAAGAGTAAGAAGCCGAATACTATTTTTATCTTTTCACTTCACCTCTTGACCTTTTCCTATTATTCAAGCGAATTACAAAATAGTTGATTTTAGCACAGAATCTATGCTTAAGCATGATAAAGTTTTTTTGAATACGGGGCCCACGTGCTTCCTACTCTAGGACCGGCGCTGACCTGGACCGTTGCATATTATGACGTTTGCTTTTTTATAATTAGCTGTCTCACGCCACTCCATGCTTCAGTCCTCTGCTTGACAAGTCACGTAGTCACGGGACTTCTTTCTTCTTATCCAATGTAACTTAATTTTGTCAGATGAATTTTACTTCTAAAAGCCGCAAAACTGTTTTACAGGTCATAGTTGTTCAGATTTGACAACGACCAGTGATCGATTGGTAAATCCGTCAAAATCATGGATTTATTCATCGTTCTGACAGCTAAAACAAATTTCCTATTCAGACAACAGTGTACTAGATAGAACGATAGTAAGGGTTTGAACTGACTTTGAACGATAATAAGGGTTTGAACTGACTTTGCTGTAAATCTGGTGCACTAGTTACCTTGAGAGTTTCGCTCTATCTCGAACAGCAAATGTCCTCTCTCAAACTCCAGAAGGTCTAAGTCTCCGCCAATGACGGTAAGAGTTTGTTTAGTATTTCTTCAGCCAATGTCAGAGAACATGGCTTTTTCTTACAAGCCAGATGATACAATATATATGATTAAGGTAAGCAAACCAGGTTTTCTGATGATGCTGTCTTAAGAAAACCTCAGGTTGTAAAGCCGGAACGACCTCAGAACATTGACAATAACAATTCCATCGCAAGTTATATTCATCTGCATGAGTTAAAAATGTGGATGTGATAAATAGTGATTAAAGTTCATGTCGAAAGACATTTGGACTTAAAGGTTGACCCAGTAGCCTATATTTGGCAAAGACAATCACGCTTACAGCTGGAGTCATACTTTGTCATCTATATTTATACTTTGTCGGAGTGATGCATGTAGTTTATGTCGGGTTTTTTTAAGGTTCTGGGGATTTCATCCATACTGCAACACCCTCCTGCGAGTATTATGTGCAGCGTGTGCGTCTATGCATGTTGAAATGTAGTAGATTCTACACTGTGCCTGGAAAGAATAGTGCAGACTGGTATGTATATACTTAATTTCATCAGATCAAAAACAGAAAGTAATGTCTGACATGGGATGATACTGACCTGTATGGCGGATAAGCAATTGACTACTGTCTATCATGTTAATCTAACCTGAGTTAATTGATTTTCAAATTTTGAAAAGAAAAGAATCTTTAGCTAGTTTTTCTTTTGAAGATTTGAAAATAAACTAACAAGAGCTGTATGTATCGTTACAATAGCAGATAATAATACACCGCAACGGTCATGAGTTGTGGACATTTTCCTACAAGTTTTATATTGATCTGTGCTGTTTGAGACTGAGAGGGGATATCGACGTAAATACAGATTAAGACTGCTCATTTAGGGTGTTGGCTTTATCTAAATTATCCTATAGTAGTATATATATACCATCTTTTTTCAGGGGACCAACTCCTTTGGGATCTTGTCGGCTGTTCTACGATAAGCTGAATAATTACTTAGAAGTGGAAGGTTTTATGGTCAGTAGGTGTATGGTCATCTGTTTTTACTGTTCCTGATCTTCTACATACCTGTTTAGGGATCATCTTTTGTACTAGATGTTAAAACGTAAGAATTCTTTTGTGTCGCCCCCCCCCCCCCCTTTTTTTTGTGTTTGTTAAAAAAAATGTCTTTCTCCTTGATGTGACGTCTGATGTTCCGAGTCATCTAGGAAAGAGATGGTTTCTTACCTATTGTTTTCGTTGGAATTGCTTCTGAGATAACGTTATTAAGTTCTATCATAAATTCTTGCCATAGGGTTTCAGTTGACTCACCATTGTGATTCTCAATGAAGTTCTTTCCAAAAAAGTCCATCCTGTTTTTCACTTTCTCCCAGTCTGCTTTTGGCTTTTTGTACATTTTGTACATTTGTCTAAATTACTTTTTTATGGCTCCCGATTGGATAATATATGAAGGAAACAATAAAGTGTCTGTCTAAAATGTCCGTTAATTTGTAGTAATGCAAGTAGGTTATAATAAGTATGTTTACGAAATGTGAGACAGCATGTCAGACACAAGTGTCAGTGATATATATGCGCCAACTCTCCAGTAGACGAGCACTGTTCCTTTCTTTATTTAAAAGATGAATACTTACAGTAAAAGAGGTCAATTACCTTTATAGCGTGGGTGGCATTGAGCTGAGAGTATGATCTACATCACGGAACACTACATAGGTGAAACAACAGAGGTCTAGTTTTTATTGTATTCAGTGAAAAACCAACCGATAGCTAATTGAACCTTTAACTCATTCACCCCTGATATTTCATAATGAACTATACCAACCTTAGAATTGGGAGAGTTCAAATGTGTCTTCAGGGTTGAATGAGTTAATAACCTAACTGTGGATGGAATTTCAGGGCTCACGCTGTCGGTAGCCAAAGTAGCCATTGGCTACTTTTATTTTTTATTGGCTACTAAAAATTCGATGTGGCTACTAAATTGACTACTAAGTTTTTAAAAATGGGGAAACTCTGTATCTTTGTCGCAGAAAACGATCCGTCTACTCGAGCTCACGTGTGTATTGTGGCTGACACTGATTGCGTAAACATAATCAGGGCCGTCACAGATCAGCGCGCGCTGTACGACTGCGAGTTTATTTAATGCTTTTGTCTAAGTTGTAAAGTCGATTATCAAGCTTCAGATGGCAAAAGGTGTTATGATTCTTGTACAATAATGGACAGTGGGGTCAAGTTAATTGGATGACCCTTTGACGTTGAGAAAACAGTCTGATAAGCGAGTCACACATAGGTGGTCTCGCACACGTACATTTGACGGCGCCGTAAGCCGATCTGATAAACTCGTTCAAACACCGCATCCAACAAATTTACGGGTTCAGTATATCTAAATTAGTGTACATGGTATTCATTTACCTTTTCCAGTACCGTAGTAAGCACAAATACGTCCGATATGCTTGATTAGAAAGTATAAGTATCGCCTTGAAACACCATGTCGAAGTGCCGATTTTCGGCCTTTCAGATAACTTCAAACGATAGGCCCTATATCGTATCTGACTGTGTACTTTCGTGGTTAGACGTTTTAGAATTTCAAGTGTTCGAGAAAAGTTATTTAGCATCACAGTTATGCAGTTTTTAGAACAGCAAACCGTTCAGAATTACTTCGACGGTCGCTTGTATTAGGTGCCAATCGACGGCACGTGCACGGGAATGGCCAAGTTGCGCGACGTGATGTGCTCCCGATTTATTTCGAAGGGTTGGTCAATACCGTTATAGATTCGTCCCTTTCCTTTCAAATGTGTTCTACTGCCATTTACATTTGAAATGTGTGATCTTTTTAAATATATTTGTATTATTTTTTTTACATAAAACATGAATTACGGTGAATGTAAACAAAGGAAAAATAATTATCAATATTGCATCACTGAGGCTACTTTTGATTTGGATTTTATTAGTTTTATTTTTTGATTGAAGGCACGGAATTAAAGGCGAATAATATCTTATTTGAACTTTTCAAGCTAGATTATTTCACAATTCCTGTGTCAAGAAAATGAGATAAAGGCTGATTTTTCTCTCTTTTGAAAAAATAAATAAAAAAGTTCTGGTGGAAATTTTCAGCATTTTAATTTAAGTTATATTTTCTTAAAATTACAGCCATGTAATCTGAAAGGATTAAAAAAATATCACATTATGGATTAAATTATAAACAAGATTTTCAAGATTTTTTTTTATTACGCTCTGACACACAAAGTGTGTAACAAGAGGTCAAACAAAATAACATCAATCAAAATAAAACATGACAAAGAGAGTAGATGCATAACATTTTTTTTAATTTAACAGAGTACTCCTTAATTTAACATCATATTGAATAGTATTGCAATTCAAAAAATATTAAATATTTTATGATTTTAATGGGGGGCCTATCCGTAACGGTTGGGGGCCGAGAAAGTATGGCCATTGTTTAAAAAAAATTGGCTACTGAAATTCAAACATGGCTACTTTTTTGGCTACTGATTTTTTAGGTCCAGGGTGAGCCCTGCATTGAGCTAGGAGTGAGATATACATCAATGGCCAGTACGCATGCTAATCGTCCTCGATATTACATGGGTTACGCTGACTTTCGCTCTCTGCACGTACGAGCGAAAGTGAGCAGCGAAAGTGAGCGTAATCCCTGGAGTATCGAGGATGCACGCTAAAAGAAAACACAAAAGTCTAGGTAATATTGTCTTCTGTGTAAAATCGTACACACATCTCTTTAAACTCTCATAAGGACAACGACACAAATGCATTTCAGAGCGATAATGTAAACAGTTTTTTTAAAAGCAACCAACCTGTTAATACATTTTTTTAACAGTACTCATGAATACACATAAATTCGACACAAACGAAAAAGGGAAGGCAAAGCTACACATACACGTTATAGCCTCGGAAGCCTTTATATTCATTATTATTTGCTCGTTTTGTGGAAGTAGTTTGTGACCACAGCCTCTAAAGCGTTGATAACACTGTCGTTATAACGGAATCTGATGATTGAGTAATCGTTTGTGGCTAGTCTATGACATAAATGTGATTAATGATTAATGTACAACCATGGTGTACTTTTACGAAGATTGTCCCTTTCTACTGGGTCAGATTTAACGACAATTTTATGTGGCAATTACCCGATATCTCAGTATTCCGGCGTTTTTGCTGCTCTTGCCATTACTTCTCTTAGCGTTCACGACTGCATTACCTGCCTGGCTGACCACCTTAACTGGACTTACCCACCCGTAACGGTCTATGTCGCACATTTGAAGAGAAATCATCTGCCTTATCCAGTCACAAAGGGATGCTGTGATGCATGAAATTTGTAAATAACGTCTCTTTCGGAAAAATAATTAGATAATTTTTGCATTTTTTCGGTTTATGTAAAATTGTTTGAACTCTCTTCAAAGGCTGTGGTAATGTGTTATTCGCATTAAGTTAATTCTTAGTGTCATACCTTAAAACGTTCTACCCGCAAGTAGTTATCGGTATATAAAATAGTCAAAAAAATCAATGCACAGCCATTAATATAGATATATATTGATAAATTTGAACGACATAGCACCATTTGGTGAATGTCGTTATAACTTATCTGTCTGGACTCTTCTGCTCCAAGCACTGTTAGGTTGACAGAACACTTCACTACTTTATTTTAACATTTCTATACAACTTACATTTGTAACAGGTATAGTTATAAACCTAAAATATTGGCCTTAAAGATTATTAGGAAAACGGCAGTCGCGAAAATAGCTTTGATTTGTTGATAAACATGCAATTTACGCAAGATGACGATTTTTGTTTCAGACAGGTACACATTGAAACCCTTGCAATATTTTGTTTATCTCCGTTTAGAAAATAGTCATAGAATATCCGTCAACGTAAGTCCCATTGGCATAAAAAAAAAATCCTTGTAAAATGATAGTACGTCGCAATTTTCTACTATTTCATGATCTAACATCAACAAAATAATGTACCTACATGTACTAACAAAAAAGACAAAAAATCCATCATAAAATCTCTGATGGTAGAAAAAAAAATATCTTCTAAATTCCACTGCATGATCGTACGAGGCAACTAATGCGGGTCCTCCTGCAGAATCGGATATTTCTCCTTTGTTCTTTCCTTAGAGGTCGTTGAAGAAACCAAAATCCTCTGCATCCATTGAAACAGATAGGGCGTAAGAAATGTACCTGCTGCCCCCATTGCATGATCGTAAGAGGCGACTAAATTTGGGATATTATCTTTTCTCTTCTTTTTAAACAAATTTCTTCTTCCTAATGTCTCCCTTGACAATGCCTCGCTTTTGGCCTTTAGTTGAGCGTTCCCCCCAGAGTCTGTCAAAATAGTAGTTTCTAATCCTGCTTAACGCTCAGCAATGTATGAGTGACGACTGGTTCGACCAGGTGGGGTGTCCTGCTGGGTGTCTACGGCAGTATGTTTCAGTGAGGTAACACTATAAAGTCGGCATCCGTTCCGCGCTATCACAAGGAGCCAAACACGAACATATCGCAGGTTCCCAAAACACACACGCATACACTACATGCATGCATCTTGCACATAGGGGAGGCCGTCCTTTAATGACCATAGCTGTTGATTGGACGTTAAACAATACTAAACCAAACCAAACCTTTGAAACATTTTATTGATTTATCTTTTTCATTTCCACCCTTTTCTGTCATTATTCACACTTTTCCTGGTACATGCTATCTATACCCTGTATGACCTTATTGTGCTGGTGGGCGATTAAAACCACTGTGAAACCCTGTATGACAATTTGGTGTTGGTGTGCCGTGAAGACTAGACACGTGTAACAAAAGGAGCACAAAAAAAAACAAATCGGGTAATATAAACAACAAACAGGACTTTAATAAACAAAGTCATATAGAAATAAAATATTGAGGAATATTATGCTAGAGTCTCTGCATTATTGGCGCCTGACAGCAGCGCTGGCATATCCATTACCGGAAGCAGCAGCTTTATTCTGAAATCAAAGAAAATATGTATTACGCCAATTTTTAGAGTATGATCTCATGATTAATTTTGCTTGAATAATGTAAAATTTACAGTTAAAAAGTTGGCTTACACATCTTTCAATTGATATGAACACTACTGATACCTTTTGCGACAGTTTTTATTCTGTTTCTGTCTTAATCGGAAGTGATGTCAAGGACTCGGAGGCCTTGGAGTGGTGGTTGTCGTAGTTGTAGTGGTTGACGTCGTTGTGGCAGCATTGTTGATACAAGAACCGTCAACTGAAATACAGGCCAACACAATCAGTACCTAAAGTCACATATTACTCGGTCTAAAGAGTTTGTTGAATCTTACACAGAACACAATTGTATCCACTACAAACTAAATACCTTGTATGATGTTTCAGTAATTTTAATTGGAAATTTCATTCCCATATACTGTACACTGATAGTCTACCTGATTACCTAGCTGTACACTGATAGTCTACCTGATTACCTAGCTGTACACTGATAGTCTACCTGATTACCTAGCTGTACACTGATAGTCTACCTGATTACCTAGCTGTACACTGATAGTCTACCTGATTACCTAGCTGTACACTGATAGTCTACCTGATTACCTAGCTGTACACTGATAGTCTACCTGATTACCTATCTGTACACTGATAGTCTACCTGATTACCTAGCTGTACACTGATGGTCTACCTGATAACATATCTGTATGAAAATATTACCGAAATTTCGTGGAATCGACGATATATTTCACAAAGTGTTATAAATGCATAATGTATTTTTATCATGAAATATTTATTTCAAGTTAAATAACGATGACTTGATAGTATACAAAGTAATCGTTCCTGCTGTGCAAAAGTGCTGCATTTTTTCTCGCAGGGGATGGTGCAAGGGATTGCATTAAATGATAATTTCTAGACACAAAAAGTTAAAAAGAGTTATCTGCCCAATAAGCCAGCACGATCGTAACGTAACATAAAATATCAGAACCAATGGAAAACAAGCTCAAATATTTCATATACTAATTGTTATTTGTTTTATATCTTGATTCTCTTATGTCATTACCTTATTTACATGGATGATCATTTGAGAGGGTGTTGATAAAGTTTTAAAAACATATGCTAATTTCTGATTTTAAACCTGACAACTTTTTAAAAATAAAATAGCCCAAACCTATTTATCATATCAACGCCCGGCTATAATGGCATTACCTAAATATATAGACCGATAACTTAATGAACCTGTAAAGTTCTGCAATTAATCGATACTTATAAACCAGATGTGCAATATTTATGAAAATAAAGATTCTGTAACAGTAAGGAATACAATTAATATCTGAGGTCCAACATTTTTTTTATCTTTGACATATATCCTGAAACAGAATAAAACATAAATTTTATACTCAAAGTTGTTCATCCGCTGGAAAAGTCCTTAAAGTGAAGAGAACCACAAAAAGCAGTCGAGTTGTTATAAATCAAATATTTTGCTCAGATTATCGGTACATTATATACACGAGTGATCACACCACTTACTCACTATACCACTGGTAGTTGTTTAGTTGTGGTAAACAAAGTACTTAACTCTAACACTAAATAACAGTTGATTTTGCTGAATTGGACGGACTCGGCGAGCAGAGTAATGTTGAAAATAGGTTGATTCATTTCGTATTTTCAAACAGTGAAAAAAAAAATCGAAATTGAGCGTAATTAATAGGTTCTCTTGACATACAAAATTAGTCGACCTTTCGGAAAAATAAATTTAAAGAAAATGTCTCCTCCCTATGACGTGGTCGCATGCTACCAGGCGTTTTGCCATTAATATGAGAGTCAATTTCAAACGTAGAAATTAAAACAGGTATAAAATATGCTAGGAGTTGAGTATTGAGTTGTCAGTCACATGCAATCGGGCGTTCCGGTAATTCTGTACAAGTCAATTTCAAATGTAGAAATTGACATACTAAGCATTAAGTTTTTACAATTACATAAACTGATAAACATCGACACCTCTTAATCTGCTGGAAGTCGCCAAGCAGGCGGCGAAATGACATTTCCCCTGCACATAAAACCGTGACATGCAATGTCGATAAATTAAAATTCGTTTTCAAATAATCACCTGATACATGAAATACTTACGGTAAACAAATCAAGGTGTAACAACGACTTCTTAAAACAAAACATATTTTACTATGTATGGATTCGTTCTTCACCACAAGTTTTCTAACATGAATCATAAAATTGCAAAATAAATTATCAAAAGATTTCTAATATAAATAGCAATTTCCGAATAAAAATATCATGATGATTTTGTTTAAAAAATGAAACATATCACAAGCTTAACAATATAACCGAAAAACGTTACACATAAATAACAAGATGTATAATATAAAACACAAGTTTTAGGAAATAAATAACAAGATATTTAAATACTGCAAGGTTTTACATGCTATATCAAGAATTCTAGTCTCTTGAACTACGAAATGTAATGATGGTGACTTTAATAGCGATATATCATCCACGAAAGGACGACACTAATTCTAAATATCAGTTATATCATTACTGTACCAATCAGGGAAACAGTTCTCTAAGAATTGAACCCTAATGAACTACCCTTTAAGCCTAAAAACATAAGAAAAATTATAAATACCTTACATTTCGTTATTATCTTGATTTCTTTTTTAATCAGACGGCTCTTGAGAATATAATTTTTCTAACAGGTATATAAATCACCTACAATTACGAACAGTTTTTAACTTCATTATAAAACTTTTATGCCAAATCTGAAGAAGACGTTTTTGGTTACGACGCAAACACTTCACATTTATGTGTCTTTTCTTCAAGTGCTATGCGTATTTTGTAATTTATATGTTAATACACTGCCGAATGAGCTGATATAAAACCCGACAAATTCTTGTTAAAAAAAATCAATTTAATAATTAATTTTTTGAGGATTTCTCTTTCTTACAATTTTCAACATTACTCAGTAAAATAATCAACTTTCTTTTCAAAGAAAATGTCTAACATCCTTTTGAAATGAGGCGTAACATTTCCATGTGTTTGGATGGTTTATAGTGATGTCCTTTATAACGTCGGGTAGAGTATGTGAATTGATAATTCCCTAAAGAACGATGTATTTGAAACAACTAACAACCCCCCTAAATAAATACGTTTGGTGATATATCAGGAGTATTGTATATAGATGTCAAAGAATTCTCAAAACGGTACAATAACGTTTTGTGGTACAAGTATGTAAACGTTCGGTAATACGGTAGGAGATTTGCTTATAGATGTCAAAGCAGTACAGTGATAAATGTAGAGTGGGATAGGCTAATATTTGTCCGAATAAGCTAACCATTGGCACATTTCTATTCGGGTAAATGATTCACTGTTAACACGTTATTTATATAAACCAATTTTCCACTACAAGCAAAAATTCTATGAAGGAGAAAGAGATAATGAAGTTCATCAATACAAAATAACAGGTGTGACGGTTAGACATACGGTGTCGTGTTCAGCAGTTATAAGTTCTATGTATCAGACCAAATATTGTAATAAGAGCATTCACGAAATAAATCAGTTTTTAACAAGACATCTATACACTATAGGATAAAGGTAGTTATTGTTATCTTGTGACACATTAAGAGTAGCCTTTGTCAAATATATAGCATGAACCTAGAACAGAGAATCTTATCCTGAAAGTCTTAAATAAATGACAATGCGCAAATAAAATGGTCTGATTAACTGTAGTATGCCAAAAAAAATGAACAAACATTAAATGGTGATAATTTATAACATTCAGGAATTACAACTCAGATAAGGAACAGCCCATGTGTACACATATAGTACAGTCACTAAGCGTTAGTGGTTGTTACCGTGTACACAGGACCACTATACACATGAAATAAGGAAGTACCTGTTTAAGATAAGTCGATGCAGAAAGACAAACAAAGCAAACATTTCAACTGCACAACATGGGTAGATTGTCCACTTAGAATTTCATCAATTGCAATAAGGGTCAAATGGTTACAATTCCGTGTCTTAAATATTCAGAAACTATAGAAATACACAATAAGGATAAGGGTTTTATAAAGTTAACATATTTACAACTTTTGATTACAACGAAACAAGTTCTAAATTTAAGGTTATGCAGTCGCGGTCCAGACTGTGTGGTAAATGTCCATGGAATCAATAACAATCCTAATATCATGTCATTATTTGGTTTTCTTGCAGTTATCATCTCTGAAGTATACTAGTCTAAATCACTTTAACTACTGCCCATAAAAAACATAATAGTATTTTATATAATATTAAAAAAAAGCGAATTAAAGTCTAGAAGCACATATAATTCCCTAAGAACAATATGGACATTCTTTAGAATTTCGATGAGAACATTATTCATAGTAGCATTTTTTAGCATTCCGTGAAAGACGAATAAGTCTTAAACAAAATGTATTTGTTTATTTCCAATTCAACAGACCCAAGGGTCCCCTTACAGAATGTATAACAACAATACAACACAAGTATAAAATATCACAGTCAGTTATGCATGTAACACAGACTAAAAGATACTCATATGTAAAACAAAAGGAATTAGTGATAGCAAATATTCTTTAACCGTACTTTGAACTTAAGTCATCTGGTCATCTGATGTTATCACGTCTGACGTGTGTTGGAGTGGCCATTCTTCATTTTGCACCTATTCATCCAGAAATTCACATTTTGGTTGATATTGTTTTTATCTGTATCGTTTAACAGTTGTGTAACGCTAATTGATGACATTAGATTACTTGACAGACCGAAAATAAGGCGCTATACATAATTATACCAACACAAAGAAATGTGTAACATATCTTAATTAATATAAAATATTTTTTATTGCATTTCTTTATTATCATTACGATGTGTTATATTAATATCATGTTAAAAGCTATTGTTGGTATGTTTATAACTACATGTATATACCCTTTGTATTGCCATAGCAACGATCTCCCGAGTGACATTAATTTTTAAGCAATATGATGATTGTTATTTTATTAAACTGATGTATTTTATTTACATTTCGTGTTATGTACAAATCCTAGCTATTTGCTACACCCCTTAACATATTAATATTTTTTTAATCAAATTAGAAATATAAATTTTAAAATGCTCTCTACTTTTCCTAATCTTAATTATCATTAGTCCGTTGATTGATTCATGAACAGTGTTATCAGTTTAAATGTTGTATTATTTCAATTTCATGATATCATTTTAATTTATTTCTTAATCTGTGTATAAAGTAGAACGTCATACATCAATCACTCAAAGAATATTATTAAAACCGATAGTATTTACAGACATGAGAATTTAACATGTTTGTGGATGATTGAGACGTTTATTCATTATACCGACTAGTGAAACACTTGGACTTACAATTGGACTATTAGAACTATTGTTTTAGAAATTTCGGCATTAAGACTATGGTCTGAAGTTTGACAATCCTTGGCTAAATGGGTCTGACTTTTCTCTGTGTGATTTATTGAGTTTACAGTAGTGGTGTAGTTACTACTACTAAGCTACCATGTAATTACTGAAATTAGGATATCTCTGTTTTGTATCACAAAACTGTACGTTTTTGAAATTTGATACACCCCTTTCTTGTCAAGCAAGCACGAGAAATACCGCTCACAATTCACCGGACTAAGGAAGAAATGTGCGGTTCAAATTTCACTTCAATAAAATAACTGGACATTTAGGAGATTTGTCGAATTCTCTTTTGGAAAACGATATGTAAATTGGGTGGTGTGTGAACTTGAGTACGACAGCGTGGCGGACATAGTGTTCTACCGGTGTATAAGATGGCAGGACAAGATAGTCTCATTTTACAAAAGCGTTTCATGGAGCAGGCACAATGAATGTACTTTCTCCCTTATATATAAACTTGTTGATTTCTCATAACTATACACATTATGAGTAAGGCAATTTTCTCCGCTTCTTTTCATTTTCATGTCAAATAATAAAAATATATTTATATGAATTTTAATATATAATAATTTGTATATATATATTATATATTTTTGTGTTTACCCTGTAGTTTATATGTATTATTGTCGATTTAATCGACAACATTTTAGATACAATGTATCACTTCAGAATTACTAATGCATTATCATGCAGTGTGTGTATTGTAAAGCTAAAGTGTATATTTGCACAAATTTAGAAAAGCTCATAAGTGACAACATGAATAATCATTAAAAATCTCTATGTTATTTTAATTTTTCGAAGCGCTTGTTTCGATTTAAAGAAGAGCTATATTTCATAATTTAACCACCCATAAATAACCGGTTATTATAGCACATTATATAAATTATTACTAGTCTAATGGACTCACGATTTTCTATGTGCTGGCACCATTAGCAGTAACAGGCTTGAGTTGCGAAATGTGTGTTGATCGTCCCGCGTATTCCTATGGTGACATTTTACGTATACATCGGTATCGCTATCGGTGTATCACGATAGTCACAGCTTAGCTACCGATTAAATCATTAATCTTTTACTATATGTGTTGTTGAGTATGAACTATCATTTAAATATTACCAATAATATATTGTCAATGCATTACTTGATGGTTATTTTACTAATATATGTATATTACTACCGATTAATTATGTATATTACTATCTAATAATTATCATTAATCTGCAGTTATTTCATACTCTGTTATTTAGATGTAAATCTGATAATGCTCGCTTAGTTTAACAGACTACAATGATAAACTAATAAGTATCGCTTATTTAATCTATCACAAACTAAATGTGTTTCATATCGTTTCTCTAATCTATCGGTTCATATTTAAAAAAAACACCTGCATTAAGAGATCACTTAGGCCACTTTCCATTGCAGTTATTTGAATTGCTAACTGAACCTGTATTCAGAGAGCACCTTCAGGAAGTCTATAAAGTGGTCTCTTATCGCAGGTGGTCTCTTAATACAGGTTAAGTATACCATACAAAATCACTGCAATAGGAAGTTGTTAAAGTGGTCTTTAAACACAGGTGTTGTTTTAATAGAGAGCAGAATTGACTTTATATAGCGGAGAAGCTCACAGAGACCTGAGGATTAAAACATATTGTGTATATTGAAATCAATCGTAATGGGTGGGAAACATTTGGTGTTGAGTTAACCCTTAACCGTGTTGAAATCATAACCTTAAGTTTGTAAACTTCTATTTCTGCACTTGTTTTTAAGACGAACCTACATATTATGAACATTATTGATACGTTGTACATCTTTACAAATATCGTGGAACATCCCTAAAGTTGAAACTTTGATTAAAAGGTTAAATCTACAATTTTGAAATTAAAATATTATTTTAAATAAACGTAGGAGTTTTATTTTTTCTTCTTTGAATGCTACCTCAAAATGTCATGTAGTTATCTGTATTTTATATGGACTGATTATTCCATTTTTATTTTAGAGATAAGACAACAACGATGATATTTCCCCCGGTTGATCCCACAGGGAAATAGATAATAGTCTTCGTGCATAACGAATCTTCAATTTTATCTTAATGAATCTCGAAATAATGTCCATTGATTTATTTTTTATGTTAATTCCTTCCCTTTTTTAATAAGTCCTCTATATGCCTTATTCGATGTATGTATAACCAACACTTATGTGAGCAAATAGTAGCGTATATCAACGTGTTACTACTAATAATAAATAATAACTCCAGGTTATTATATTCTGTTTTATCATAACCTAGTCCGGAGGTCGTATCAAAGGGGTTCACAAATTATTATCCGTGGTTATAGGGCCTTTGCAACCAGCAAACATCTTTCTCGTCTACCTGGGGAGCATGCAGCCGGTGATGCCATTTCAGCGCTCACAGCTAGCATTCCAAAATTCTAGCACAGCTAAACCACGTTCTCATGTACAGATGAGAAGACTGTGGAAACAGCGGAATAAAGTATTTTGCTCGAAGATACAACACAGTGTCGTGCCGTGATTCGAACCCGCAACCATTCGGTCACGAGCCCGGCGTCCTACCACTAGACTACCGTACCTCCTTGCTTTGGCTTTCATTTAAAATACCATTATTATTTTTTTCTACTTAATTTAGGGTTTTGATACAACTAATACATCAGTTTATACAAATTTTAAATTGAGTTAATAAAACATAAAAATAATTGTAACACAACACATTTAGTTAAAGTTTAAAATTTTACACTGACTGCTCTCCTATCATTATTAGTCAGTGACACGGAGAGTCTTCCGTTCTTAAGGAGATCAGAAAATGAAAAGCAATTCACTAGTTCTCGAAAATCTCCCATGAACTAAGTTGAACTTATATTGATATTGTTTTCTTTATTGACAACTCTATGCTAAACGCTCACACAGTTTCTTTAACGTTTGTACCATGAAACCGCAATTCCACCAAGCAAGAAAATAATTACATAAAGAATTTTAAATAAATTGTCGGCATACAATGGAATGCTCGGGTAAAACATTCACATATATTTAATAACTATTTAATAGCATTTCAAAGATAAAATAAAAACCTGTTTTCTATCCGAACCAAACCCATAAAGAGAAATTTATTACACTTAATTTCCTTTTTTATCAGTAGATTTCGTGCCCTAGTTTAAAGTTACTGATAATTATCAAGAGTGATGAAAATTATGAATCAGTTTTCCTCTTACGAAAGGAACATAATTTTACTATTATTAAAAACATATATAAAACAGGTGAGTTAAATGTAAGCCTTACCTGTCGAAACGCAAAACAAAACAAGTATGCAGATGAGAACAAAACACCAAATCCACAGATTAAGTTGTCGTGACATAGTGTCGGTATAGGAGTGCTCCCAAGAAAATGTCAACACTCTCTGTAAATATTCTCGTGTAGGTAAGTGTGTCCGGTAGGGTGGAGGAATCATTAATCTAGCGGAGATCTGTACCCTGTCTACTTTTTAAGCCAATGTCACATGACGTATATTAGTGAATCAACTGTCAAATTAACACGTCGTACCAACCAGGACGAATTCAATGAAGGGAGCTGTGTGTGAGCTACCGGGGGTGGAGCGTGTGTCATAAATTTACTACCTTACTGTGAGCTACCCAATGAGCTACCGAATGTGTGTCATATACTGTACTCACAAAGTCAATATACGGTACTGTGTGTGAGCTACCCTATGTGTGTCATATACTGTACTCATAAAGTCAATATAGGGTACTGTCTGTGAGCTCCCCAATGTGTGTCATATACTGCCCAATGTGTGTCATATACTGTGCTCACAAAGTCAATATAGGGTTCTGTTTGTGAGCTTCCAAATGTGTGATATAGGGAACTGTGTGTGAGCTACCCAATGTGTATCATATACTGTACTCACACAGACAATATAGGGTACTGTGTGTGCGCTACCCAATGTGTGTCATATAATGTACTCACAAAGTCAATATAGAGTACTGTGTGTGATTGACCCAATGTGTGTCATATACTTAACTCACAAAGTCAATATAGGGGACTGTTTGTGAGCTTCCAAATGTGTGATATAGGGAACTGTGTGTGAGCTTCCCAATGTGTGTCATATACTGTACACACATAGTCAATATAGGGTACTATGTGTTAGTTACCCAATGTGTGTCATATTCTGTACTCACACAGTCAATATAGGGTACGGTGTGTGAGCTACCAAATGGGTGTCATATACGGTACTCACAAAGTCAATATAGAGTACTGTGTGTGATTGACCCAATGTGTGTCATATACTTAACTCACAAAGTCAATATAGGGTTCTGTTTGTGAGCTTCCAAATGTGTGATATAGGGAACTGTGTGTGAGCTCCCGAATGTGTGTCATATACTGTACTCAAAAAGTAAATATAGGGAACTGTGTGTGAGCTCCCGAATGTGTGTCATAAACTGTACTCACACAGTCAATATAGGGTAATGTCTGTGAGCTACCGAATGTGTGTAATATACTGTACTCACAAAGTCTATATAGGGTAGTGTGTGTGAGCTACACAATGTGTGTCATATACTGTACGCACAAAGTCAATATAGGAAACAGTTGAGTTAAATGTAAGCCTTACCTGTCGAAACGCAAAACAAAACAAGTATGCAGATGAGAACAAAACACCAAATCCACAGATTAAGTTGTCGTGACATAGTGTCGGTATAGGAGTGCTCCCAAGAAAATGTCAACGCTCTCTGTAAATATTCTCGTGTAGGTAAGTGTGTCCGGTAGGGTGGAGGAATCATTAATCTAGCGGAGATCTGTACCCTGTCTACTTTTTAAGCCAATGTCACATGACGTATATTAGTGAATCAACTGTCAAATTAACACGTCGTACCAACCAGGACGAATTCAATGAAGGGAGCTGTGTGTGAGCTACCGGGGGTGGAGCGTGTGTCATAAATTTACTTCCTTCCTGTGAGCTACCCAATGAGCTCCCGAATGTGTGTCATAAACTGTACTCAAAAAGTAAATATAGGGAACTGTGTGTGAGTTACCCAATGTTCGTCATATACTGTACTCACAAAGGCAATATAGGGTACTGTGTGTGAGTTCCCCAATGTGTGTCATATTCTGTACTCACACAGTCAATATAGGGTGCTGTGTGTGAGCTACCCAATGGGTGTCATATACTGTACTCACACAGTCAATATAGGGTACGGTGTGTGAGCTACCAAATGGGTGTCATATACGGTACTCACAAAGTCAATATAGAGTACTGTGTGTGATTGACCCAATGTGTGTCATCTACTGTACACACAAAGTCAATATAGTGAACTGTGTGTGAGCTACCCAATGTGTATCATATACTGTACTCACACAGTCAATATAGGGTACGGTGTGTGAGCTACCAAATGGGTGTCATATACGGTACTCACAAAGTCAATATAGAGTACTGTGTGTGATTGACCCAATGTGTGTCATATACTTTACTCACAAAGTCAATATAGGGAACTTAGAGTACTGTGTGTGATTGACCTAATGTGTGTCATATACTGTACTCGCACAGTCAATATAGGGTACTGTCTGTGAGCTGCCGAATGTGGGTCATATCCTGTACTCACAAAGTCAATATACGGTACTGTGTGTGAGCTACCCTATGTGTGTCATATACTGTACTCATATACTGTACTCACACAGACAATATAGGGTACTGTGTGTGGGCTACCGAATGTGTGTCATATACTGTACACACATAGTCAATATAGGGTACTATGTGTTAGTTACCCAATGTGTGTCATAAAGGAACATAATTTTACTATTATTAAAAACATATATAAAACAGGAGAGTTAAATGTAAGCCTTACCTGTCGAAACGCAAAACAAAACAAGTATGCAGATGAGAACAAAACACCAAATCCACAGATTAAGTTGTCGTGACATAGTGTCGGTATAGGAGTGCTCCCAAGAAAATGTCAACACTCTCTGTAAATATTCTCGTGTAGGTAAGTGTGTCCGGTAGGGTGGAGGAATCATTAATCTAGCGGAGATCTGTACCCTGTCTACTTTTTAAGCCAATGTCACATGACGTATATTAGTGAATCAACTGTCAAATTAACACGTCGTACCAACCAGGACGAATTCAATGAAGGGAGCTGTGTGTTAGCTACCGTGTGTGGAGCGTGTGTCATAAATTTACTACCTTACTGTGAGCTACCCAATGAGATACCGAATGTGTGTCATATACTGTACTCAAAAAGTCAATATAGGGAACTGTGTGTGAGCTCCCGAATGTGTGTCATATACTGTACTCGCAAAGTCAATATTGGGTACTGTGTGTGAGCTACCCTATGTGTGTCATATACTGTACTCATAAAGTCAATATAGGGTACTGTTTGTTGGCTACCAAATGTGTGTCATATACTGTACGCACAAAGTCAATATAAGGTACTTTGCGTGAACTACCCAATAGGTGTCATATACTGTACTCAAAAAGTCGATATAGGGTACTGTGTGTGAGTTCCCCAATGTGTGTCATATTCTGTACTCACACAGTCAATATAGGGTACTGTCTGTGAGCTGCCGAATGTGGGTCATATCCTGTACTCACAAAGTCAATATACGGTACTGTGTGTGAGCTACCCTATGTGTGTCATATACTGTACTCATATACTGTACTCACACAGACAATATAGGGTACTGTGTGTGAGCTACCCTATGTGTGTCATATACTGTACTCCAAAAGTCAATATAGGAAACTGTGAGGGAGCTTCCAATGTGTGTCATATACTGTCCTCACAAAGTCAATATAGGGTCCTGTGTGTGAGTTACCCAATGTGTGTCACATACTGTACTCACAAAGTCAATATAGGGTACTGTTTGTGAGCTTCCAAATGTGTGTTATATACTGTACTCACAAAGTCAATATAGGGTAATGTGTGTGAGTTACCCAATGTGTGTCATATACTGTACTCACAAAGTCAATATAGGGTACTGTGTGTGAGTTACCCAATGTGTGTCATATTCTGTACTCACAAAGTCAATATAGGGTACTGTTTGTGAGCTTCCAAATGTGTGTTATATACTGTACTCACAAAGTCAATATAGGGTACTGTTTGTGAGCTTCCCAATGTGTGTTATATAATGTACTCACAAAGTCAATATAGGGTAATGTGTGTGAGTCACCCAATGTGTGTCATATACTGTACTCACGAAGTCAATATAGGGAACTGTGTGTGAGCTACTCAATGTGTGTCATATACTGTACTCATAAAGTCAATATAGGGTACTGTGTGTGAGCTACCCAAGGTGTGTCATATACTGAACTCACAAAGTCAATATAGGGTACTGTGTGTGAGTTACCCAATGTGTGTTATATACTGTACTCACGAAGTCAATATAGGGTACTGTGTGTGAGTTACCCAATGTGTGTTATATTCTGTACTCACAAAGTCAATATAGGGTACTATGTGTGAGCTTCCCAATGTGTGTCATATACTGTACTCACAAAGTCAATATAGGGCACTGTTTGTGAGCTTCCAAATGTGTGTTATATACGTGTCATATACTGTACTCACAAAGTCAATATAGGGTACTGTGTGTGAGTTACCCAATGTGTGTTATATACTGTACTCACAAAGTCAATATAGGGTACTGTCTGTGAGCTACCCAATGTGTGTCATTTTCTGTACTCACACAGTCAATATAGGGTACTGTGTGTGAGCTACCCAATGTGTGTCATATACTGTACTCACAAAGTCGATATAGGGTACTGTGTGTAAAAAGAAACTATCTTCATATAACTAGTGCAAAACAAGTATTAGCACAGCCTTCACATTAACGAAAAGAATACTTAAGAATTTCAAACTTACCATATCTACATACAAAGACAAAATATGAGCCCACAGTTGTTAGTAAAACAAAAGGAAACCGAAAAGACACCAAAACAAAAGAAACGACTTAGTGAACTTTTGCAGTAAATAAAAGCTTTACACTTTGACAATGGTCGACAACAATTTGAAAACCAACATATGTAATATAAATATTCTGTCTCATCATTAACCCCATGTACACACTCAATGGACACCAAACTTAGAACATCCGATACTAACATTGCAGATTCGTTTATAGACTTAAACATCTGTCCATTATTATTATTGTGTTCTCTTTGGTTCATAGTTGACAAGTTTGATTGACAAGTGTACATCTTTCCCTTTTTATCAAAAGAAATGATTTGCCAGATTTATAGAATTGTACAAACGGAAGACTGTATGTGAGAAATAAATCAGTTATGTAATTTCTTAATGATATTTCAATTACATTTTATTGTCTGCTTACGGTCCATGCACTACTCGTTGTCAAACAATTCTATGGTTTATGAGCTATGCCCAACAACACGGTCACACACTGTTACGGTGAGTCCAGTATAAAACAATATCTCTTGTATAAAATGTACATATAGATGAAAATGTCCGATCAGACGACAATGGCGACAGTACGAGGCCGTCTTACTGATTGTTTTATCAGATAAGTATGGCTTTGTTGTGTTAACTGTAAGTATGTGCATTTAAGGAGCTGTATAAAGTTGTCTCAGCCACATTAGAAAAACAATATATACACATCACTTCAAAAACCTGCAAGCTTTACATCTTTATACCAATAACAATAGCGCATTTATAAACAATTTTAAAAGCATTAGGTTTAAGGTAAAATGCATTTGTTTACTTAACAGTGCCCAGGATGCACACACTTTGCAATGTGACATAAACTAGACTTAGATACGTCTGTGGGAATGTGAACTGCAGCTAACAATGATTTTGACTCAGACTTTAATGTACTGTAACACATACTCTTTAATAATTCCAAGCTCTTAGCATAACAGCAAACATCAAACAGATCCGTGTACCAGATGCACAGACATATCTACAGGGTGCACATTAAAATAAACTCATAAACACACGATAACATTAAATTTTATTAAATAGCATCTTTATTTAAATCTTCCCAGTGACGCAGCATATCTGCTTACGGGAAAAGTGAAAATATCACACCATATAAAATTATAATTTGTCATACAATATCACATCTTATCACCTCTGATCACAGCTCCACGTTTCAGACCCTACTGCAGTCTATCTAAGCAAATACACCCTGTGTGCTTACGAAAATATGATCAGCTTGATGCAATTTATTAATATAATAAAAATACATATTTTGATATTTGGAATAAAACAGGATCGACTTTCATTCATTATACAATTTAAGAGATATTTAAGAGGTCGCGTATACCCTATCATTATTAGAAATGACTTGCTTCGTATATTTATATATCATAAAGGTGGCCGTCCGTTTCTAAACCAGGGCAATACAATGATTCATTCCATTTCTCGCTTCCTCGCTCACAATTATTCCACTAAAGTACCCGTGAACTCTTATCAAGCCTTTAGAACTATAAAAATATTCCTCATAGTTATTATTGTCGCCGAATTAACGGCCCGACAGATATTCCTTGAAATGGTATCCGCCAACTTAGTCGCTTTGATAGTAAGCAAGGCTATGATCCCCTATATCATCGTTTCAATGAAAGTTGTAAATTTTTAAAGAGTTTCTCATTAAACCACGAATTATACGAAGATGTGACGATTAAGGTCCAGATAAACATCTTATCTTACCCGAATATACGTCATACAGGGTTAGTTTAATGGGAGGATCGGCCTTTTTATTTCTAAACTCTGTGATTCATGGACATTTTACCTCAATATATGGTAATGTTTGTTTAGTGTGTTTACCTTTCATCGGTGTTTAGATACATTGCTAATACTTCCACAGAAAGAACTCTCCCATTTATTATTTTAAATTTGTAAGTACTAAATATTAAATTTCGTCTATTACATATGAATTGTATCAGATTATTATTTGATAACCCCCAAAACAATTGCCGCGTTTTGTTCTTAAGTGTTTCTGATTGATAATATAAATCAATTTTTATAAATTTATTTTTGAAATATAAATAGCTTGTCATCCGGTAAGGTTTGATAAAGGTCTACTTTTCAGGTTATTTCGTACGTGCATTAGAAATAACGTACACTTTTTGCTTTTGTCAATTCCTTGAATGAATCATTGATCCGAATTCGTGCTTTATTATACATTTAATATATATCTATATATCAAAGATAAAACATATTCATATAACGAATTGTGATGAATAATTTATGTATCCATATTTTGAGAGCGTTAAACAGAACTTTAAAATAATCGTACAAAAAATATTTAGCAGCTTTCAGTTAGCCTTTTAACATAAAGCGTGATGAAGATGGTCGTGGTATCCATTTATATCCTGAAGCTACTGCAGAAGATGAACCGTGAAGATCATGGAAAAAATACTACAAGAATAAGGCCAGTTGTTTGGGAAGTGTAAACGTTTTCTGCGTCATCGACGACACCTGTCGTGTATCACGTCCTCAAACCTAGAACTGGAGTAGAGGAAACGATACACCAGGGCAAATAATGAGCATCATAAATATTATCGAACTTCATCTCAGAAAAAAAATAGAATACATCCCCATACTATCATGTGGCGTTCATAACACTTACCCATCATAATCTTCATCGACCTCCATCACTTGAAACCCTGTGTGAGTTCGTCCACCAGCGGTCGACTTCTTTCATGGACATCATAATATTAGTAGCGATCTCTTGAATACCGACTCATATACAACATATAAACACTGTAAACTGGGAAGCAGGGATGTTACAATCAAGAAAGGTAATAAAGTTCACGATCTGAAAATCTAGGGCTTCCCTGTTGATCATGTTGTAAACAAAGATCATGGAAAGCAGTTTATGTAGAAAAGTGGTGTTCTTACTTTCAAGTTTGAAGAGTATAAACCTTCCACGTGGCCAATACATATCTTGTTATTAACTCTCGCAAATATTATCCAATTGACTTCAAACTTAGTAACAGGGTTCAAGCATCAAGGGCTCGGCCAAGTTTGACAACCACTTTAATCGGACTCCATTTAGCGGAGTTATGGTCCCTTGATTAAAGAAAAACGTCATTATCTGCAGTTTCTATAGAAGGCGGAGTTTTTTTCTTCGAGTTTCAAGCAATACATTATGTCTCAACAGCACGATACTCACATGTTTTAACCTAACCTCAATAATGTGTATGTCCTGCAAGCGGGGGATATAAAATCCACGAATTTGTTTGTTTTACCAGCTTTATATGTAAACAAAAACAAGTCAGACTAAAGAGGGGTACATGTACATTGTTTTTATTTAGTCTACATTTTGTTGGTAAATCCTGTCACTGTATTAAAAAGAAAATTGATATTTGTCAATCTTAAACTCAATCTTTCTCGGGATTTTATCCACAGTATTTTCAATTTGGCCTTTGTCATGTTCTTAACAGAATAAAGGAGTTTACAACTATATACTTATAACGGCGATCGCATTTCTTGGAAAACAGAGCTCTCGTCCTAGGAGAACGAAATCTTCTCTCAGTTTGGTATGAGATATATATATTGTAGTGTAAAGAGTAGAAAAGTCAAATGTTCTGAAAGGAAAAAATGTTTTGAAGAGAGTATGATTCAAAATTGATCAAAACATTTCTGAAATTCTTCCATATTCCGTTAATAATATTTCTGGAGTAAAGTGTCATAAAACGACTATAATCCTGTTTAGTTGTAGAGGAAGGGACATTAAGTACCAGAGAAGATGTATGGAGAGGCGGTTGACATGTGGTAGAATTGGGAGTGTTGGCAGATGCAATGTCAGCATGCAGTAATTGTGGCCTGCCTCCTCAACTGCACCATGCTACAGCCATGATAAATTATGGATGGATTATCAGCTATAATTAAGGTGAGGTTCAAAATCCAAACAATTATGAATGTCACTGATAACCAATTAAGTAAAAGACACAACAGGATTTGGGATGCTAATTACACAAAGCTCATATCAGGTTTTTTTTTTAGCACAAATGTAAATCTTAATAAATTATAGTTATACAGTGTAATTTGGACTTTTGTAATATAGATATTTCTTGGATATACTAAATGTGTGACCTTGGCTGCCACCTGATCTAATATAACTTTCAACTTTTACTAGACACCAAGTTAAACATAATGTTGATCCCAGTCTTGATAATTAATGCAAAAGTTCCAAATAATTGGTTGGGCACCCAAAAAAATAGAAAATTCACTGAAATGTATGAACCCAACCTGTGAAACACTAACTTTTTAGAAAGTGATACAGGTGAACAATATGTAAGATTTAATTCATTGAGGGGTAAATATGGGAATTATACCACAGGAAGTCACTTCATGTTAAATAGTTTACCATGAGTGAGATGAATAAAACATCTAATCACAAAGTAATATAACAAACATGACAAAATGAATTTGAAAATGAAAGGATGACATTTATTTTCTAGCTATGATACATGCTGGCATTGGTGAGAGGCAAGTCAATAGTCTTTTTTCGGAGCTGAATATCCCTCATGTCAGTAAATGGACACTGCTAGCAAGGCAAATGAAGCAGGTATTTAAAGCAAAAGTATACTTTTACAATAGTGTTTACCCAAACTGTCTAAGTGAATGGGAATATGAAATTAAAGAATTTCAAGTTATTGACTTGATTGTTGCTATAAGGTTACATACTGATGAGGTATAGATCAACTTTGAGTTGATGATCTTTAACTTCAAAAACATCATTGTCATAGAAGTTTGTTGTGGGCGGGGCATCTGTGTCATAATGACACATCTAGTTTTCATCATTTATTTTACCTGTTGTTTGCAGAAAACTTGTTTTTCCCCAACTAATTATGCACATTCACATAATGTTATATTTGAAAGTAGCAGTTTAGTTATAACATATACCAAATATGACTAAATAATCACCACCAACTCAGGCATATTTTAAACTCAGCTTGAATGTTTATCAATTTTTTTCAACACAGACTTCTCACATCACACAGATGGCAGCAGTATATGGTGACAAGAAATGGAGCATCTATGTCTTTCCGAAACAACCTATTTCCAAAGGTGCATCAGATATCACAGGCATATCCATTTCAGGGAGCAGAATGTATCACCATGGCAAAGTGGTAACCCCATCCAGTATATCATGTGCTATTGAGGGATTCCTGTCATTTATACAGCAAGTTCCCGAACCAGTTTTCCTTGCTGGACATAACATTTAAGTTTTTGATTGTCCTTTGTTATTCAATGCATTGGAAAAAAATGTTAAAATTTCAGCATTTGTAAATAAATTTGTCTTCATATGCACAAGAAAATGTATGTCAAGTTGTAAGGGGTAATGATTACAATACACATGATGCCTTAGAGGATGTCACATCTCTACAGCTGTTAGTTGATGAAAGCAATTGTTTGTGTTCACTCATGTTCTGAAGCTGCTTTTGATTGTAATCATGTTTTATCCTCTCTTGCTTACTCTATGTGTATAAAGAAAAATATTTCATCTTACAATGATCTTGTAGAAAAGAAAATTTTGAGCAAAGGTATGGCTAGGAAAGCTGCTGGTAGGAATTTGTCTTTCCATAACTTGAAACTTGCCTACAATAGAAATGGTGAAGATGGACTCAAAGGTGTATTATCCGAGACATGTGTAAGTGTAAGAGTAACAAAGTCTGCTAAGATCATTCAAGCTGTGTCAAACTACTTTTGTGAGTCCTAAAGTTAAGCAATTTAATAACAAGTAAACATACTGTGAGCATGGCTTGCACATATCTAAAATTTTACACAGTGATTTACCCTTGTCCGTCTGTAGGTATGTAAGAATGTCCATACGTCCATCCCGATTTAGTTCAATTTTAAGTGTAGGTTCATTTCTCAGATAGTAGACATTGTATAGCAATGATACTTGGGTCATTTTGTAGATCTTTGGTAGTACAACGTGGTTCACTGTTAGCTAGGTCACTTTGATCTCTTGTATACTCCAATTAGCAGGTGTTGAGGGGGTGGGGGTGGGGGGTAGTATGTTATATATATGACCTAATAAAATAGATGAACATCAAAACTTTTATGTCTTTTGCATTTTATTTAGTAAAGTGGTGTCTTGAATACAATTGTTATGAAGATGCATGAGACAAATGATATTTGTTAAGCTTCTATAACTCATATCAGGTAAATCTCATTGATACAGGTATCAAGATATGGGATTTCATAGGCGGAATAATTCAAATATCCAGGTGTTTTCAGGAGGCCGTTTGTTTTTAACAATGCCCATAAGGTATCATTATTATAGCGTTTTTTAGTCCCTTCCATATTATTCTTTTAAAATAACCATGGTTTACACCAATTGTAGATTTCTTAACATTTTCTTATTTCACCTGACTACATCCTTAAAGGTACTGAGAATGGAAGTTTGGCTAAAGGAGTGGTTGGGCAACTATCTAGAACTAGCGAGGTTGTTTTTGTAAGTTTCAGAATCCAAATGGATTACAAGCGAGGCAGGACTGTATTTCGCATTTCAACACATGTTATTGTTTAGAAAACAAATGGATTGGACAACAGGCGAGTCTATATAAGTCCTCTCATATAGGTGCCACATATATACAAGCCAAGGTGAATAAAGTAAATAATAGATATCATAGACAGTAATGTATATATATAAAGAGAAATAGATTTTAGAATGAAAGCATTGATGGTAGTATTACACAAACATTCAGAGAGTAGAATGATTACTTCGGGAAATGTTTAATAATTAAATATATAAACATCTACTCAAGCTTATACATACTTGCATACCCACATGCCTACATGTCACACACACCCTCACACATACAATACATCTATATAAGATGTGTACTCAGCCTAAGTAAGTAATCTACATTATTACAAAGTTACTACATATATAAATTGTACCCTTATCATTAATGAATTTTCCACAAGATTGTAATACCAAAGCGTTGTAGATAGTCTGTCGTCTTTTGAGGAAGAATGAAAAATATACAGGTAAGGGCATCTTGGTTATCAGTAATGTCTGGTCCTTTTTGAAATCAGGAAACGTAACAGTAATAGCAGACAAGTAATTGTTAGATGCTTTGTCTGCAGTTACATTGACATATTTTTCAAGCTGATCATTGAGTGTGATGTGGAATTTGGGGTAAAGAAATACAGATTTGTTTCTTTTTCATGTTTAATATCAAACTGTTTATTCTTTTTGAATGACGGACCCGATAGATTTAACAAACTCTGCAGCATGTTCCCGTTTTGCCTATGGTCTTTCGTAGTGTTTAATGCATATTTACGGCATTTATCCCCTTGTTGGCAAATTCGATTTTCATGAAATTTCAAGTTTCCCCAAAATCGTGACAAATCGGTAGGAACAAGCATTCCCCTGGCTGTTAATACAGTAAAGATAGTACACAAGTGTACACCTCCATACTTTCGCTGAGAGATACATGTGTGTCATATCTGGTATAAGGATACCTTATTGCACCTATGATTTATCGACGCTAATATGAGCTGCAGGCCACGCATCACAGACTCCTGAAATATGCTAATGAGTATGCTAATTAGGGCGATTGATTATTAAGATAGACCTATGCTGCAATAGATTACCTCTGTAAGTGGGCACCTGTTAAGGGAGCCGGCGTCCACACAAAAACCGCGCTCGTCTCGAAACCCTAACCGGAATCGTAAAGCATCCTATAATTGAATATACTGCAATATATAAACAACTGTTTGACAGGTTTTATGACGAATAATTTGTTTTTACCGAGTTTACCACGTTCAAACCGATACTGGGTAAACTTACTGCAATTTGGGGACCCGTTGCTCTTTTGAAGTCGCAGTTATAGCGCCGTCTTTTTTTAAATTTAAAGTTTTGCTAATAAATTTATTCTTTTTCTAATAATTGCATATATCTTAAAAAAACCCATACCATTTCAAATTAATATATTAACCGACAAACACGAAATTTGCAAAAATGTAGACACTTGAGATATCTAACGTTTTCAACACATTTGGTGAGTACCGCCCAACCTGTTTCTTTCGTAACTCGGGTGTTTTTCTGAAAGCATACGTAACTGTTAAATTCTTACAGTTTGCGTTCATGTTAAAATAATTTTCAGCATTTCCATTTTCCTCCGCCAATTTTTGTCTTCTTCTTTCTTGGTGCCATAAATATTTGAGGAATAAGCTATGGATTATTCTCGAATGCTGCCAAAATGACGGTCATTATTGTTTATGTAGTCAGTCGAAAACTGCACATCTTAATGTTCTTAATCTGTTAATAAAAAATGTTCACTTAACTATCGGAATTCAACATGGAAGGTTTAACCAGAGAAAGTTTGAATCGTTATACACAATGATATGTCTGCTACACACATATATAACAGGCCCGATCATATGCATATCAAATGCCATTGTGAACCAGGATATTGTCCAATTCAATTACCTCACATTTACCAGGACCGGCGAACTTATGCCAAGGCGTCCGTCAACTTTTCACTTATACATATATACTCCTTATAAACGGCTGATCGGATTTTAACCAAATTTTGTAAGGATGCATCATTGCACGTTAGAACCCATCAGTTGTATAAGGGAAGGTGTCCCCACCTCACGAGGCTTAAGCGGCGGGGCAGAGTTTGTGAAAATGTGGTGATCTAAAAAACTACTTCTGCTGACAAAGTTTATGGATTTTAACTATGTTTTATCATTTAACATTTAACGCTTGCAGGACAAGGAAACCAGATTTTGTATAAATGAAAATCGTAACCCCAAAAGGTTGTGGGACAGGACCTATAATAATGCAAGATTATGCAATGGGTTTTAACCTACTTGGTCTGGTCTGAAAAAACGATAGCTGGGCGAAAAGAAACGAAAGCCACCATGCTACCAGGATTGGCTCAAAGGTCCAGTCCCACTACTGGTGATTTTGTCCCTTGATCACGCAGGGAGGCAAGGGATTATAGTGGTAGGACGCCAGGCTCGTGACCGAAGGGTTGCGTGTGAGTCACGGCACGGCACTGTGTTGTATCTTTGAGCAAGATACTTTACTCAGCTTGTTCCAGTCTACTCAGCTGTGATTGAGTATGTGGTTGGGCAGCGCTAGAATTGTTGAATGCTAGCTGTTAGCGCCGACATGGCAGCTCCGGCTGTATGCTCCCCAGGGAGTTGAGAAAGTATTGGCTGGTTGCAAAGGCCCTATAACCAGGATAATATTTTGTGAACAGCTTTGAGACGACCTACGAACTAGGTGATAAAGCGGTATATAAGAACCTCAAATTATTATTATTATCGTGATATGGATATAGATAGATTGAGATCCCAAACCCTTAACCATACTTGTTTATACAATTGCTAGACAAAATACGCCCCCGACCCAGAGGCGTTCATAGACTCTGTTCTTGTTTCTGTAGTGTGGATTTCTCTTGGACATAACTCCTCTCATCAGCAAAAAAAAAACTCTTTAAAAAAAAAGTAGTTCTAAAGCCTAGACTTTCTTTTAAAAAACAGTTCAAACATAGACAGCTACATATACACTAATATAAACATATAAGGACTGTTCTTAGATTGTTGACAAAAGAAGAATGTGTCATTTTCTGATTCACAATTACCTGTCAATACCCAGTTACATTCATCCACACCTGTTCACATATTCGTTCAGAATCGCATTTACCTGTTTTTGAAATCTACCACTGATGACTGATTTCCAAGCAGGTGTATGCACCTATCTCCTTCGTTTCTCCTCTAATCTAACTCCACCTGTATCACTAGTGGGAGTGTGTCAGGCAAAGCTCTTTCATAATCTTAACTCCAACCCAGATCCGGAAAAACTTTAAAAGGGAGGTTGGAAGTGTTTTTATATTACTCCTAACTTGTTTGGTACATTGAAGACCTTAAGATATATTTTCTTGACAAATACATTATGTTTAATTGGTACAGCACTTTTCCAATGAATAAAAACGAAATTTAAAAAGTTTCATGCCTGGCAATTACACCATCTCACTGTTTCCTTATCCAAAGACATTTTGGTCCCAGTATTACATATCATGAGCACAAGAAGTTCCAAGCAATCTAATTTAGTAACATGATCAACTTAATTGTGTTCTTTCATACAAATCATGATTACATTTTTGTATCTAACATACTGATGCTGTGTCCCTTGCACACAAATTCCTGTGAGAGACCAAACATGGGTGCATTTTAGGATCTACTTCTTCTGCAAGACACAGAAATATCTTGTAATGAAAACAAAATGTTTTGAATGTTATTTTTCCCCCAATAAGTTCACACCGGAATAGAAAATTTAATTTGGATGGTAGTGTTGAGGCTATTTTTGTTACATTCACAATCCCTCCCACTATGATGAAATGATCGGGGATCCAGGGTGCAAATCCTAGTCTAGCCATGAAGTGCATTTTTCACTACAGACCGCTGTTGTTGTATTTCTCTATTTATTTTCTGGTCAATACTGTTTTATAAAACTTATTGGTATTGGAAGGTGGATCTTTAAAGGGGAAAAGTACAATGCTGTAGTCCCAAATCTGAGGTGTCACACAGACCACATCATAAAACCCTGATTTAAGGGGTAAAAACCCAACATGTTGTGAAGGATTCTATCATTAGTGCAATTTACCTGTCATCTGCTTAATTTGAAATGACAAATAGGTGTCTAACACCATCAGGTAATACCCTATGGCTTTGTATAATTCTTATCTATATATACATCTGTCAAAATCTTCCTAAGATACAAATCTAATAACCTGTGAATGGTAGAAAAGTTTACTTTAAAAAACAGTTTTTATGCAATTATTTCAAAAAGTAATTTGACAATTGCTTTGCTCGGCTTGAGTGCTGGGCGGCAATGTGGGAATACACAGAAAAAATACACAATATTGCACTTGTGTATTGTGAACTACTTTAAATCATTTGAAATGTTTGACAAGTTTCATGTTCCACCAAAACCTTGAAATAGACATTCATGGAGTGCATGTCATGTGTCAGAAATGTACGAGATCAATTGAAAAAAACACCAGTCTTTGATATCTGACATCATGTGTCATCGGTAAAATAGAAATCTGATTTCGATCAATTTTCACCAACACCACCATCACACCGAGATTACACATACAATTTGTACCTTAATGACAACAATCATAGCTGTCAAAACAATTTCACTTAGGCCCAGCGTTACTCAGTCGTTTAAATTATTTTCTAAACAGAATCCTTGTTAAATGTTTTACTTGCCTCGCGAAAATGATATCAACTTTGCTTTGGGTGCAAACATGTCTCAAGATCTTTTGTTGCTGACAAGATAACATTATAAGCCAATAAATTCTTCACATACTGTAAAATAAACAAGAGGTCACTGGGATTTTATAGCTCACCTGGTGTTTTTTTTCAATTTAATTCAATTCTTCCCGCAGAAGGGCCACACCCTCTATTAACATGATTGAGAACCCTTTTCATAAGATATGCCCTAGCCCAAATTTATATAAAATGGCCTCCATTTATACATTATAATTTTTTGTCAAAATATCTTCATAATTTTCTGAGTGGTTTTCAAGATATAATAAGTCAATCTCGGAAAAAAAATTTGGTAACAACAAATTAAATGGTGCGCCAAAAATAATTTCCTTTGCATAGTTTGTCATATCTAGAAAACCAATCAACGGAAGGAACTAAAAATACTGTGTGAGAAAAATTGAGGCAATTATCTTTCATGGTGCCAATTTTTGTTTCAGTAGCATTCAAATTGGTTTCAGGACATTTCACTAAAAAATTGTAAAAATACATGCTTGTGATGTTTAATTTGGCTCAGGACTGTACCTTGGTACATGTGTACCAAGTATGATCACCCTACTTGATGTTTGGGTAAGACGAGGCCCTGAAACCTGTATTTCAGAACTTGAGGTCAAGATCAAACGCCGAATATATTTCTTATAACTTATGTTACTTACTTACTTACTTAAATCATGAATCAATTGCCAAGATATACTCCTGCAACCTGGGCAGATGTACAAGGCAAATAACTACATACCCCCGACTTCATTGAAGTGGGCTTATAAAAACAACAAAAAGAATTTTTCATTTGTGCTTTTTCATGCAACAAATATGCTCCTTTATTGGCCAAAGAAACAAAACAACAAAACAAATAACATGATGCAATGTTACAGTAAACAATAGAACACAGAATTCGTGTTGAGATTATTCAAGGTAGGAAGCACAATGCAAACTGACTAAGCGGACACATAAGAACCACGTTCTGTGGTATCTTACATGATTTTATGGCCTGTAAAGACTGGATTTACTTTTTTATCCATGATTTTAACAAGCTCTTTGTCTTGTATGACCAAAACATTTAGTCCACCTCGATGTCGGTAATTTCAGTGTAAGTTAAGTACTTCAGAAGCAGATCACTCAACAATTAAATGTTCCTTCATGTACATTGTAATTACATTTTTAATAAACTATTCAATGTTAAGATGCTTGAATGGTTTTTTATACTAATTTGCAAAGAAATGTAATGCAATGTTTTTATTTTGTAAACACCTTACATTTCATACAAAATATATTTTACCTGTTTTTGTCTCTAAATATTAGTTTAAGATTTCTTGCAAAAGAAAAAAATCTCTGTCTTTAACAAATTTAATAATGTCAGTCCCACATAACTTTACACTACTCAGCACTGGCCGGCATGGCCAATAATAATCATTCTCATCCCTCTACCCTGTCACTAACAACTCTGTCTAACACACCTAGCCTCATTATGCATATTTCTCATTTTACTAACTTAAACATGTTTTGTTCATCATTCATAGCATGTCATTTTTCCAGAATAACAGAATCATATTAAGACTTTTCAATATGTTTTACGTAATACTGATTCGATGAATGATTTTCATTTTTGGAGGGTGTTGAAATAGATAAATTGCCACAAAAAATGTTGAATACCAACATACACTATAAAATTTCATTTTATTCAGTGTAATATTGTTACTTATTGCTACTTAAGCCCATGAAATCTTGAAACTCTCAATTAAAAAAACCCATTTCTAACAAATGTTCTTAAAGAAAAGTTTCCTGTTTTCAAACTGTAGCATAAGAAGTATGTTTGGCCTAAGGTATGGTAAGCCTTGAAATGGGTTTAATGGTTTTACCATGCATAAAGAAGCACAACTAATGCCACGTAAGTCTTGTTCCAACAAGGTAAATTTTCCTCAAATGTTAATGAGAATGAACATTAATGGTGGTTCCTCACAAAATGGCTATTATGTATTTTTTTATTCCACCTATCCAAGTTATCACCATGGCAACAACGAATGTGGAATTGATTGGTCTCTACAAGTACTGGTACATGTACATAGATTACTAACACTTTGCACTGTTTTAAAGTATATCACTTCTATAAATGAAATGCAAATCCTTGTGGCTTTTAATCAATGTCATCAATATATATCCTTTTACAAATATGGCTGCCACCTTCCATGACAGAATTATAGTTGCAAACTCACACAATTTTCATGTATCAAGCAACTTTCTTTTCTCTTTCGCATCACCAATTCAACAATGTGACCTATGATCCCTCACAAGTATGGCTGCCATCCTGGGAAGAGTCTGCAGAGATTTTTGGGGTCACGCGCCTCCTGTATGAGGTGGTTGACCTGGCCAGCCACACTCAGCTGTATCCCATCCTCAATCCCCTGTAACTTCTGCTGTAACCGTAGCAACACACGCTCTGCCAATTTATTGACATTTTCTGTATTTTCCTCTGAAAAACACCAAAAAAGACAACTTACAGATTTCTCATTGACTAAACACTCAGTGGACTCTAGATAATTTTATAACAATATTTTACCTTTCAATGTTCATTGAATGAAGATTTGAACTCCTATACAAGTTATATAAATCACTGATATGTATAGTGCAAACAGAAAATTCAATGGAAAAGAATTTGTCACCTGCCCATCTGTGTGACCATGCATGTTGATTTTCAGATTTGGATGAAAATCAAGTTTGAGAAGGTCATTGATATTATAGGGAGGTGTTGAAAGTTTCATGAAAATCAAAGCATTATTTCATGGAGATCATGCGACTTTTCAAAAAATTCAATCCAAGATTGGCCATTGTTGGCCATCTTGATTTTCTGATTTGGTTCTAATTTGTTCTTTAGCAGGTAATTGATATTACACTAATGTGTTAAGTTCCATGAAATTGAAGCAGTCCTCCAAGATTTATCACAAGACCACCATGTGTGCAAATGACAATGTTGCTGATGGGGTGATCTCTAAATGTTGTCTTTGCTTTGCAGGTGACACAATAAAACCTGTATATCAACGTCTGGCTTAAGAACTTCTTTCAACTGATATAAACATGATACAAGAGACTCCAATTTCATAGATATTTACATATAGACATCAACGCTCTAGGGTAATATCCGTTTCAACTAAGTTTAGTTCTGACAAAATATATACTGTAATTGACAATGTTGATTTTTCATTGTGTTTAAAGTACTTGCTTCTCCTCTATAATTAAGATATCATTTACCACCAAGTGCTCCTGAAATATTATCCCCCTGTTGAAATTGTGTAGTAGTGGACAGTTGGTCACGAGGGTTTGGGGGAGGGGGAGAGAGAGGGGACATCAAGTCCACACACAACTTTTTCACATCATCCACTTTCCTTTTCATAAAAACTTCACCATGTATGGACATGTCTTAAAGTTTTTATAACCAAGTATATTACCAAATGACAGTTCCCAGAACTTGTACACAACAAACCAATGCCAACCATCAGATGGCCAGCAAGGCTGCAAGAATCACATTAATATGTTAATCTAAAACTTGAGAGAAATGGACCTTTAGTGAACTTCACAGCAGAAATAAAATTCACTTCTATGAAGTGTTTGCATTTAGACAGCACCCTGATCTCCACAACAGTAATACAATATTTAATTCTGAAAACTATTTGCATTTTTGCACAAATTAAATGGAATTTTAAAATGAGTTAGCATTTTTAATACAAGAGGTGTTATATAGTTTAACAACCATTTTTCTCTATGAGGCAGAGGTGCTGCAGCAGCCTAAAAAAATATCTATAAAATTCAAATTCAATTCTCCTTAAAAAGAAATTTGATAGTTGTTTACAAGTAGAGCTAATAGGACAAACTCAGCTGTTCAGATATAGCTGTCAACTTTTCTGTCTATCACTTCTATGAGAACAAATATTGATGCAACATCCCACCATGTGAAATTCTCATGTTTACATTTTATAAGTACAATCATCACTACAGGTTATAACCACAACTGGCCAAATGGGTAGGTAGTACAGAAAGAAGGCTGGTAGGACACATATATAAATTCTACTTGGCCTAATGTGAGACATGTTTACATGATTCGTAACTGATAAAAGTTGTAGAAAAAAATCATAAATGACTTATGCTTGTTTACATAGATACAGCTCATTGTTACGCGGAAATAAATCATACTAATCTGTCAAAATGTAAATATGATGTTTTAATGTAAGTGTCCTTCCTTCAAACACAATAACTTTGCACCTTAAATTACAAACATGTAAGAAAGAAAAATGATAAAAGAAATGTTCCCAACATTTAAATTCTGTACATGTGGGTTAAAGTAGTTATCGTAAGCAGGGTATATTATCGTATATACATAAATCCTGTTCATAAGTAACTTCGAGCTGACAGAAACCATAAAATGATGAATATCAAATCATCAGCTTAAATTTCATAATGAGTGTTTCGTTTCTGGCTACAGATCATTAAGATATTGGGTGTCCTGTTAGTGACAGCGAGAGGTTTGTCGACAGCTCCGTCGCAGAAGCCAGCCATTGTTGTTATACACATGATCACATGCCCAATTTTAAACAAGTCTTTCATATTAGTATAGGCGGCCTGTCACTCCAAATACTAGCTGATTGTTATATCGTGATGTGTTTAAAATCGCTTCAAGTGACGTAAATTATCCTGATTGTAGTCTTGTGGTTTTTAATCCCTGGCACCAGAGAAAGTGACCAAGCCTTGGAAAGATCAGATAAAGATGAATATGTCTGTCAGTATGAAATGTTAAACACTTAAAATATTTGTTAATATTTCTCAAAGCAACGGGCCCACGGAGCCTGTGTCCTTCATTTGATCTCTGAACTATATAAGATAAAAAAAAAGGTTTTGAATTATTCGAGAACATGGTGGCTATACATATGTTTTGTACTGACAAATTAAAAACAAAAGCAAAACTTATTTTCAAGACCATAAGAGGACAACTCCTTACAATATTTGTTAACATCTGAATGGCTGTACTTCAATGGAAATACAAATGAAATGCCTTATAATCAATAGGCGATCATGCAGGTCATCTTTGATTTCAAATCTAAGATTCCTTTGGTGCTTCCATCTGGATCAACAAGAATGATAACATAAATTTACAAACTTATTTCATTGTTGTTGTCAATTACACAACGTTGATAAAGATGTTTTTTATCTATCTGAAAAATTGCAACACTTGCTCAAAACTAAATGATGATCATTCCTATTATAAGAGGTGTGCATCGCAAGGGTTAATTGTGACGATTCAATATGTATCACAATACATGGGCTATTATGTCAAGATCAAATTACTACTCTTGAGAAGAAGTTTTTTTTTCAACCAATCAGACCATAATGGGTTTAAAAAGTTTCCTTTTAGCTTGAGATGTTGTCTTTTCTCACCAGGACCAAGATTCTTGAAGACAAATTTGTTACATCAACAAAAATATATGCAGTATGTATCTTATCTAAAAGCATAAACATTCACAACTCAGCAGTACATTATTGGTTTTAAAAGAATTTTCAATCATTAAAGCTTCTTTTCTGTTTAAGAAAACAATCATAGGTTAATTTAATATTATAATTTAACATTCATAATCCATTACAAATAATTGATTTTATAATAGCAATGTGGAGATTATTCAGATAAAGTCACTCATTGTTCATTTTGTTTTAATTGAATTCTTGACAATTTTTTTACTTAAATTTGTTTTATTCATGACGAAGTTTATATTTTGTTTTATTTAGAAGAATCCTGCAGCTAAAATAGTCTGCCTTGGTCGTAACCTGATAAAAACCAGAATGCTATAATATTTTTCATCATAGCCATAAAGTTGATAATACCAGGTTCTGTACATTGAATGACTTATTAACATGCCTCCTGCTGATGCAGCCTTTGAGACTGACCCACTCCACTATTACCGGACCTTGAAACTGATACTGTCTGTCCCTAGGTTAATTGAACAGCTCCCAAATACAAGAGGCCCATGGGCCTAAACGGTCACCTGAGTCCTACAGTATTTATTTTTGTTGTTGAAATATGTACCAACTTGAGTACAAAATAGTTAAGTGTAACGTAAAATTAAGTTTGTCAGGACCATGAGCTGATCATTCCTAGACCGAGTTTCAGTTAAATCGGCCTATTAGAACTTGTTTTTAAGTTTGAAATAGTTTTTTCAAAATGGCGGCTGTGGTGGCCATATTGGATTTCTGATCGACCCAAAAAATAACAACACTTTTTCAGGACCATGAGACGACCATTCCTACAAAGTTTCAGTTAAATCGGCCCAGTAGAACTTGACTTTAAGTTTGAAATAGTTTTTCAAAATTGCAGCCGTGTCGGCCATATTGGATTTCTGATCGACCCGAAAAATAACAACACTTTGTCAGGACCATGAGTCAATCATTCCTACAAAGTTTCAGTTCAATCGGCCCAGTAGAACTTGACTTTAAGTTTGAAATAGTTTTTCAAAATGGCGGCTGTGTCAGCCATATTGAATTTCTGATCGACCCGAAAAATAACAACACTTTGTCAGGACCCTGAGTCAATCATTCCTACAAAGTTTCAGTTCAATTGGCCCAGCAGAACTTGACTTTAATTTTGAAATAGTTTTTCAAAATGGCGGCCGTGGCGGCCATATTGGATTTCTGATTGACCCAAAAAATAACAACACTTTGTCAGAACCATGAGTCTGTCATTCCTACAAAGTTTCAGTTAAATAGGCCCAGCAGAACTTTACTTTAAGTTTGAAATAGTTTTTCAAAATGGCGGCCATGGCGGCCATATTGGATTTCTGAGCGACCCGAAAAATAACAACACTGTGTCAGGACCATGAGTCGATCATTCCTACCAGGTTTCAGTTCAATCGGCCAAGCAGAACTTGACTTTAAATTTGAAATAGTTTTTCAAAATGGCGGCCATATTGGATTTCTGATCAACCCGAAAAATAACAACACTTGGTCAGGGAGATGTCAGTAACCTTCCCATGAACTATTAATGAAATCCCTTTGCCAGTATTTCAGCGTAAGTTGAAAATGTAAAATGTTAACGGACGGCGGACGATGGACGAAGACGGATAGCAATAGGTCACTTGAGCTAAAGCTCGATCAGGTGACCTAAAAATCCCTCCCTTTACCTTAACACATTAACCCCTGCAGACACATTTGAACTCCTCCAATTCAAAGGTTGGAAAAGTTAATTATGAAATTTCAGGGGTGAATGAGTAAATTGCAATGAGCTACATAAAAAACACAAAAAGAAATTCATAAACTGGAAAAAAATGAAATAATTGATGTGTAATCACATGTAGGTAAAATGACTCTACAGAAGAAAGAGGTCCTTATGCCATGGTCAGGTCTGGCAGTTATAGATCATATATCTGGTGCAGCAGTGACTGTGATAAGTAAATGTTGCAATATGAGTGAGAGCTGACGTTGTTGGCAGGCGGCCGTGTGTCACCAGTTGACACCTCCTCAAGGTGACACTCCCCCTACAGTCCCGTAATTATTGTCACCTGCCTGTCACGACAAGTATATAATAATTATTATTTTTCTCTTTGTTTTTTCTCTATACTATTATGACACCTTGACCTTTCTGATGTGTTGTATTCCATAATAATCACCCCTTCCCTTTTTTTTGCGAGAAATTGAAATCATATAGACCTCTCCCAGACCTGACAAGACCCTACCAATGATTAATAGAACATACGTTTTATAGCAGAGATTTTAGATCTTGTAACTATGGGTTTGGTTGGGGGCTGATTTCTTGTTTGGTAGGTACTAAGTATACTGGTTGAGGTTCCAATCGGGGTTTTAAAGGGGGCAAGGTAGTTCCCAAACAAGAAAAATTAATTATTCTTATGGGAAAAAGAATGTCAAAGCATTTACCAGTGGTTTTAGATAGTGATATTGTAATTACATGTACATAAAATATATCATCTTGATGGTAAGCCTTGGTCAACAGTAAACCGATGGTCAAATACTTGACCATAAAAACAATACATGATATAGAGTTTGAGATGCTACACTGATATCATGTGTATTAATTATGGGAAAGCAAATATATTCAAGCGTTGTTATTCTCAGAAGGCTGCGATAGGACAGTTTTTATATAAGTTTGTGTATTTTCCTAATGGGATCAGTTTCAACAGAGGAACGCTAGCTAACACATGTAGACAGCCTTTAACATACACACCACACACCATGTTAGGGGAACTCTCACTGACAGGGCTGACAATATCATAGCCTTAATCTTGTCTAGTGTCTGTCTAATTTTCTCAATTCTGAATATTGCCACAAAAATATTAAATCATTATGATTTCATCGCTATAGAAATCTGAATGCCAGTTTCTTCATATCATGACAAGGTTTAGTTCTGATACCCTTCCGAAGCGGATTCAATTTCCCATAAAAGTTCCTCATGAATATTCAAATACCTAGACACTTTGTATAAATATCCATAAATTTCATTTTACTCTGAATGCGGTGAATATATATAATTACTTAGGCATTCCGTATCGTTTATGGGATAAAATCTTCGGGGGCTGTTACTAACGAGGTGCCCTTATCTACTGTTGACAAATCCATCATTTCCTCCATCGTACTGTAATAAGTTTTTCTAAAACAGATAATTTCTTGATTTTCCTCTGACTTTTGGTCTGATTTCATCCATTATTTTTTGTCTATGTAGCAGACTTGCGTCATGTCCTGAATATTTAGATAAAGACTTTCTGTCGCTGTAATTTAAATCATTATAGCTATATAACAAGCTAATCCATCAAGGTCTGTCCCGTAAATAATTACGTTTCTGTTGGCCCTCTTGTTCTCATTTCTAGCTCTATTCAAATCACCACTGCCTTTTTATATTTGTATGTCACAGCGTGAATATTCAAATGAAACAAAACTCCATGTAGGAAGTTTGTCGCCAAAGTTGGTGCCCTCCAATAATTGCTATGCAACACATTAGTTTAGCTATTTGTACTCAAAACAAGGTTGACGTTATCCAAAGTTATTTTAACTATTCGTAAAACATGAATATTCATATGACAGTACCCTGCATTTTGGAACTTTTTCGTCTTAAGATGGAGTGCTCCACATATAAAGCATGTACCAGGAAAGATGCAAAAGATTACTGGATAGATTTCAATCTCAATTTAATTCAGGATTTTTTTTTACTTTTCATTATATTTCTTTCTCAGGATGTTGCCCTTCATATGAACAATTACAATAACAAGTTTCCTTCCAATATACATTTTACTGACTTTAAGCACAACATAACAGGAAGTATATGCAAGTGCGTAATTATCAAATCTAATTATGCACAAATTTAAAAAATAAATACTTCGCTTACAGTGACTCAGTCACCAAAAATTCCTGATGCATTTTATGTGAAGCATGCGTTACATTAAAATCTTCCAAATTTTCTTGCTGTTTCATGCTGACAAATATAACTCAAGAAAATAGTATATTGTTGTTTTTTTAAATCTGGAAGTCATGAATAAGATTAGTAATGTATTCATTTCAAATGGTCTCTGATTTCAGAAATCCTTTCCATTAGAATGTAACAGTATACAAGGGGAGACTATCTGTCTGATCAACAATTTGACTTTTATTCACCAGTCTGAAACAAGCTTTTTCAAGCCTTATTATCAGCTTATCAAGTTAAACTGTAAATTCCTCCAGATGTCTTTTTATAACTACAATTACTGTATCTAGGTGGGAGACTCCCGATTTTGGACCCTTAAATCTAGCATTTTCAACCAAGGGATTTGCTTAGCTGTTCCTATATTCTGAGATCTGATTATTTCATCTGAAAGAACAACTCAAAATATGTCATTTAAAGGGTTATTCTGTCTCTAGGGGGTATATACACAGATTTTATTTAGGTTTTAACTTTTAACGATGCCGAATCACCCCCAAGGAAATTTCCAAAAGTTGGCAAGTATGTCACGTTGAGATACAAAATAAACAGGGGTCAATTTTCCTGGTTTTCTTCACCCTCCCTACCCCAGTTTATATAATAGAATACATCTCTCTCCGGTGATGAGAGCAAAACTTTATGGCCCCAAAGTTTCCAAAATCAAAAAGTTAAAAAAAAACCCATTCTTTTCTTTTTATAATAAATGTAACATTTAAATTTATATTTAAATGATGTTTGAATATAGTTATTGTTGTTTTGTTATAGGTTAAAGTTCCTATTTGGCTGCAGGTAACACATCCACCTACAATCCAAAACCTAAGGCCACATTCCCGAAACAGTTTTGAATCAAGAGGCAAGCTCTCAATTCCGATATTCAAGAGTCTTACATGAGGGTTGAGTCATACCCTTCAGTTAGGGGGAAATCCTATCAATCTGTCAGCATAGGAAAGCTTCAACTACCTCCTCCCTGTAATCACCTGGAACATTTCTTTTAAACCCTTTTTGATAATGTTAGAACACTTACACCGTATCAATCATTAATCTACCATCCCTCTAAACTATGTACCGACCTCCAGCCATCTCCAGCATGTCTCGAGCGGTGTTGGTGACGTTGAGTTCGGAGGCGTCATCGGTGCGGTCACGGCGATGCTGCAATGCATACGCCTTGGCGGGTGACATGGACCAGGTGTTGATGGGGTCGTACAGTAGAACCTCTAAGATAGTCAGTAGCGCCTCCTGGTGGTCGTGCATCACTTCCATCGTCTTCTCACAACATCTGTGAACAGTGGAAAAACACGTTTACAAATAACGATTTTCTATTTTATTTCTACTAAAAACAATAGATTAAATGCAATGAAGCCTTTGTTATTGCCAAATTCTTCTGATCAAACAGCTGGCTGTCCCAGAATAACCTGGCGCTAGCTATTGAGACAAGGTAAGAAGCTACAATATTAACCACCAAAACACTTACCTGCGGAATACACCTTCCACTCCCGATACACCCATACCATCCACCATGTCTCGAGTCAGACGGAATGGTACAGTCTCTGGCGTGGGCAGAATTCGGCCTTGCTCAAATGCCACACCTGTTACAGAAAAGTACAAAACGTCAAAACAGGAACCACCGTATTTTGTTCAGATTTTGTGAAATATCAAGTCTGAGATTTAATTTGCTAAAATGAATTTCTAATTTTCAGAATAACAAAATAAGAGCACCACCACAAAGCGGTGCATAACAATCCCGTATTTGAGATTTTGTTTCAAAATGAATGAACAATGATCTGCTATTAAGCTTGCTGACTCATTGTTCATTTAAGTTTATGTATATTAGCTTGGAGAGCTCAGAAAGTCTCATCACTCTCTACTCTATGAGGATGAGCTTACGAAGCTCAGTGAATCATCGCTCACTTAAGTCTATGATGATAAACTGGGAGTGACTCAATGCTAACATTACTCTACGGTAACAAGCTTGGACAGCTCTGATTTAGACATTTTTTTAGACTTAGACAACTGATAAATAAGTGTACATATGGTAATGGCGTATCAAAATCGACTTTGATTGTATATTGCCACCTCGTACATATTTTAAACATATACACGAACTGTGATACATAACATTTCATCAATCTGATAAGACTCATTTCTCCCAATTAATCTATGTGGACAAGCTTGGAAACTCCTAGTGACTTATGACTAACCTAAGTCTATGTGGACAAGTTTGGAAACTCCTAGTGACTTATTACTCACCTAAGCCTATGTGGACAAGATTGGAAACTCCTAGTGACTTATAACTCACCTAAGTCTATGTGGACAAGCTTGGAAATTCCTAGTGACTTATTACTCATGACCTAAGTCTTTGTGGACAAGCTTGGAAACTCCTAGTGACTTTTTACTTACCTAAGTTTATGTGGAGAAGCTTGGAAACTCCTAGCGACTTTTTACTTACCTAAGTCTATGTGGACTAGCTTGGAAACTCCTAGCAATTTATAACTTACCTAAGTCTATGTGGACAAGCTTGGAAACTCCTAGCAATTTATAACTTACCTAAGTCTATGTGGACAAGCTAGGAAACTCCTAGCGACTTATTACTTACCTAAGTCTATGTGGACAAGCTCGGCTGTTTTACAGTCCACCAGGATGTTCTGGACATGTCTGTCCCCCAGGCCCAGTATGTAGCCCACTGAAACAACAGGTCACACAAATCAGTGCCAGAATAAAGCAATACATTCATATGTGAAAGAGAAAGATGCTCAAAATGTTCCAGAGTAAGCCGTACACAATCATCCTCGTTTATTGTATATCTTTTTTAATTTTTTTAATTTAATTTTTTTTTATCAAAAAGTCATACAATTATGATATTGTTAAATATTAAGATGACAAATCGTGTCCTCTCGTAGGAGGGTTTCCATACACCACACTCTCTTTCATGGCGTTATACCTCTCCCTCTCTTTCATAAACTATCGATTTATAACTTTTTATATTATTCATAAGTATTTGTTTTTGATTTTATATCAAGCCTGCTTATATTTTTTTCTATCCTCTCCTCGCTCGCCATCACTCCAGCTCCTCGCTATCAAAGTCCATTATAGTACTAGGTGGCTTAGATCAGATAAAAAAACATAAGTATCGTAACATGATATACTGTTATGACAATTTGAATGTAAACATAAAACATCAATTTCAACATACTAAATATTGTATTGTATTGTATTGTATATCTTACATATTTTCATTAGACAGGTTCTGGTTCTCTTACATACAGTTAGTTGAACACCAGTTTATCTCCAATATTTAGCATGATTTCCAAATGCCACCATCTCTGTGAATGTTGTCCTTTTGCATTCTACATCAATGAAGTCATTTAGAAAGATTGCAATACTAAGCTACACTGGGATTGTAGTGTATAGATATGTCTATCACCATGATTACAAAGTGAGCTTTACTAACCTATGGAATTGGTGGCCACACTCTTAGTGTAGGCAAGCCTTCGCTCGTACCAGTGAGCAGGCTCTGGAAACCTTTCCATGAAGAAGTGACGAAACACAGGCCGGAATTTACTACACACCTCTAGGAACGTCTTGTATTTCACCTCCGGTTCTTTTGTATGTACCCCCTACAACCAAAGCATTCATGAAAGATACGTAACACAAGCACTACACAATATTTAACAGGATAGTATTTGTCAATAAGGCAGATGGATGCTCATTTTATGAAAGTTTGGTCTCCAATTAAGGAGGTGTGCGTGTGGCACCTTTATCAACATTTTTCCATGACTTTTACCGCTTCAAATGAAGTTCCATCACACCAGTTTTATACTTACAGCTAGCTGCCGTCTACTATCCATGGCCAACGTATCGTGCGGACGGTATCGCCTGTGGGCACCTTCTGTCTCGCCCTTGCCTCCGATTAGGTACTCCCCTATAGGAAGTGTGCCTTCACACCACTCTAGCAGGCCGCTGCGCTGCGACAGTGGGATAACCTTGTACTGGCGAATCTGAAGGTCTCGCTTCCTTGTCTCCGATTTCTTTCTCAGTAGGTTGTTGACCATGTTGAATACTTGCTGCATCACAGCGTCCTGACGAAGGTCATCACGACCCTGGAAATAATAGTAACAGCAGAACTTAATTTATGAAATTTGTATACTTTCAATTTTGTTGCAGACCTAAACATTTAATACTAGACCCTTAAAAGTCTATTTTTAAACATGAAATGATAATTCTGAGAAACGGAAATTGCCTTCCCTGACTGAGCCTTTGACCACTTTTGAACAGTGGAAGATGTTAATTTAAGTTCAATCTAAAGTATTGATATCTCTCCCTTACCTTCACCAGCTGACGATAGCTCTTGCCATCTGACCCAATACAGGATATAATCTTTGGTAGGTTGATGCCTCCAGCCAACTTGAATGTTGGCTGGAACTTATGTATGTATGTGATATTGTTGTAACTTCCACTGCGGTCCACCTGGAATACATTAGTAAACTTTAAACATGTTTTAGAGTTCAAAATTTAATTGCAATTCATTATAGTGAACATGAATTTTATTTCACATGTGAAACAAAGAAACTGAACATCATATACCTGTTCAAATTCCCGCTTCATTGATTTGTGTTTTTTTATTATCTATATTCTAGTAGCACCTTTTTTGAGACCTGTGAGTACTCGTGGCGGAGACATCATTCAGGGTAAAATACCCACCTGTTTTTAATTAATTGCCGGATTCTGTCAATTAATAAAGTCTGGGATACAACAAAATGCATTAAAGATAGGCAGCATCTTGACACATAACTTAAGATAAACATCAGACTTACAGGAATTTCCATGGTCGGAACAACAATATTACGCAAATCTTTCACTGCTGGTAGCTTCAGTATTTCAGGGAATGGGATCGGCTCTGAAAGGTACAAGCACAATACAGGACGAAATTATTTTAGACAGTTCTAAATCGAGACGAGGGGGCTCAAAGTCTCTCACAAATCTATGACCAAATATTAAACAAAGCATGGCTGAATTGAGTCATTTCGGTACATATACAACAACTATAGTTTATACACTTTCAGCGCAGCTAAATCGACATCAATTGTGTTCATACGCTTCACTTGTCATTTGTCTGATGAAGGTGACAGTGTACATATCGTACTAGTCATCAAAACGTCACATAGAAAAATGTATTGGTTGTGTAAAAAGAACTTTTCATAATCCCTACCTACCAACCTGAAGCAAAATGTTTGGAAATTATTTTAGACACTCTATTACACTTTATTTCATTATATTATTTTCTGTAGAACAGATCTATCTTATGGTATTATTCCATTATTCAGGGAAGCAGTATTTCTCTTATTGGTTTTTGCAGGGAATGATTTTTTCGTACAATTTTACAAACTGGGTACCAAAAACGATGCTTTTGTAATACGTATATATATATACTTCACTGAGCTTGAAAGGAACTCTTGTTATTTCTCCTTGTGACATTTCTAAACAAAAGGCATATAAAAATAGTGATTTTTCAACCTAAATTTTACAACAGTCTGTTCCTAGATGAATTGGGAAAAAAAGCATTTTTATTTTTGAAATTTAATTGGGAAGATATTCCTGCTTTTTTTTCATTTTGGGAAAATAAAGCACTTTCTAGCCAGGGTAAACAGTCTGTATTAATTCAGCTGTAAAACTAGGCAAACACAAAATCACTGAAATGTTTAATGAAACCATTAAGCATGACTCTTTCCTACTTGTTTCAGTCTTGTACTTGTTGACTGGGTAGTTAGCCAGCTCTATGTAAGCCAGACAGAGCTTCTCCAGGTCTCTGACGATATTGCCCACAGAGTTACTCCCCTTGTGTGACTTCAACCTCTCCACCAAGTTCTTGGCTGCTTCAATTCTCCCCTGTAAAATGTGAACTTGACAATAATCATAGAAATATTTTATCTGGAACTTTTATTTGTTTCACTTGGTAAGGAGCAGTTCCTCATTTTTGGACAAATGATAGGTTATTAACAAGATGATAGGTGGGTGGATGGTTGGGTTGGGCTAGGGTAGGTGTCGCGTTAGGGTTGTGGTAGAGACAAAACAGGGTTAACATAATTCTGATCCTGAGGGCATACGTTTCCTGCCTTCCCTTTCAAGTTTTAAACTCTTTAAGTCAGAAGATTTTGCAATGGGGCCTGAAAATCCACCGAGGCAGTGAATTCAATGTCAGCTATCGCTTCAAACATGTAGTCTACCATGGAAGCATCCATGAACAATATCAATGAATGTTTATTGCAAATAAGATTTTTTCATGTGGTTTCTTGTTCATTAACAAGTTTTCACTATAGATATGACATACCTCTTCCTCCCTGGCCAGGTCAGACTTCGTCCTTGACAACTTGCCCTTTTTGTTAGGGTCCTTGAAGATGTCGGCATCTTTTTTGGCGTGGGCTAAAGCCAGTACACAGAAGAGAGTGTGGTGGGGATGGTCCACAGCCGTCCTCTCTATTACCTGTTATTGTAGACAAATGGTACTCACTTATAGTGCCGTGTTAAACACACACATCTGATCTTATTAGCAGTATGTTGTGAATTGTTAGACAATGTTGTAATTTGTAGAGTTCAAACACGCAACATATACATGAACATTTTGAAAAATATTGTGATCGATTTCATTTTTGTTATATTGCAATGTAATATAATATTCCTGCATTTACTATATACCTGTTTTCCCACAGCCCTTAATATAGGGCTGTCATAAAATATCGGACAATACAAAGGCATATCGTACTGTATTGTGGTACGAAAATTAAAACTTTAGACAGAGCTAAAAATGCAGTTTTGAAGATTTGTTAATAAATAAATAAATAAATGAATAACAATATGTCAAGAATAGCACGTCCTTCTTTCAAGCTTCACTTGATTTTACTTGGTATAACAATTCTAAAATATGCATGTGAATTGAAATTGTCTTATGCAGAAATAGTGCATTCGAGCAATTGTCAGCTTTTTAGTCTGGATCCCTCGAAATGCATGTGCCAAATTTTTCTGAGGTCAGAATGAGTTTTCATCTGACCCTGTCATTTTCTTTTCAGGTTCAGCACGTTGAAACAATACTTGTTATCGCGACCATCCACGAGTTACTCCCCTTCGAAGAGTTCTTGCCGGAAAATGCACAAGTCTCGTGAGAGAATGCGAGGATACGGGGGGAAAACAATCTGCCATGTGTAAACAATATGCCCCACCTTCACTGTATTGAACCAACAAAAATAACTCACAATAATAGAGGTCACAGCAAATGCATTTAGTAATGACATTCCAATCAAATTGTTTGTCCAAAACAAGCCTTCTGACCTTTCATTTACATAAAGGTAACACACGATACTCTGTATGCCGCTGATGGTCCGTTACAACTGTGACGATTTAGCTTCGTCCTCTTTTTCAATATCTGGCCAATTTAACATGTCTGCTTGCTATCATAGGTGTACTAGCTCCCCAATTTTCTTATTTAGAGTAGGTGATACCTTTTGACTTTAAAATATTACCCAATTCATTACATGGAAGTTCGTGGAAATTCGTATCTGAATGTTTTGGCGCTGCCATGTTGTTTATATATCCGTTGCCCCAGCGAAATCCCCTCCTATTTGAAGAGTTCCACTGGTCGCGATATCATCTATTGAACCAGATGCATGAAAGGGACCTTTTAAACCTCAAAGATTTGAAGATACATATACATATGTAACATTTGACCTTTATAAACATGCGACATTTGACCTCTCACCTTATTAAGGGTGATCTGGAACAGTGGACATTGATCCTTGTGGGGCCGAGTATCCATCCTGGTGGCGAGCTGGTACATCAGGGGCAGTAACTTGTATGTACTTAGGTCCTCAATACCGTCCTACAGTATTAAAACACCTTTTTTCAATTATAGGGAACAATTATTTGAATTTATTTAAAACAGTAGACTTGACATATACCCACTAAACACAACATGCAATTGCTACACGTGACATTATATATATACCCTGCCCGGTTCCTTGTTAACCACACAACACTTGTGTCAGTGATATAAGCTGAATTTCTTCCAAATGAAATTATGTAGGATTCATGCAGAAGACAGCTCACTGACAGTGTAGGGGTGTACAATTTCATATTTAGGGTACCAGCCCACAGGCAGACTTAAAAAACAATTCTGCTAGTCTGAGATTTCCTTTCGCAGTAAATAGTGGATTTTTTTTTTTATTAGCTCTGACGTGAAATGTGTAGCCCGGCATGTCAGGATAGTGGAATGGTACATCCCTGCTAATGTTTGAAATCTCTGCCGAGCCAGAGAGACATCAGTCTTACCTATTCATCAATAAATTTTGGCATACAGGTTTTTGTACACATGACCAGACATCATAAAACCATCACCTTTATAAGTTCGTTGATTTCCTGGTTGCCATTGTTACTGAACCAGAGTGAGGTGAGTCTGAACACACGGAGGTCGTGCCGATCGCCAGACTTGAGACAGCGTATATAGTTCTCCACGGCAGTGACGAGGAAGTGGCTCTTGTCGTCCTCCAGAGCATTGATCTCCTGTCGGTCAATCTGACTCTGTTTGTTCAGGATGATGAAATATTTCCTGTAACATTTTAAGGCACATTTGAATTTCAAGTTTATTTCTTTTATCCTGGATAGGTGTATCCACACTTTTATCGGTGTGAGATATCCTTATCTCACCCTAGGGTTGAGACTGGGGGATTCCCTTATTCATAACAATGACATGACGTCACGTCAACACTACAATGACGTCATGTCAACAATCCACCAACGTCACGTCAACCGTGAATTTAGCCTGCGACGTTAACATTATTATACGCATATGATACACAATGGGTGAACAGGGAAAGAGAAAAAAATCATTCAACCCCTTGAGGGTGAGATAGGGGAATCTCAACCCTCAGGGAAAGATTCTTACGTAGCCTCGTGTTTGGAAACTTAAGAATCTTCCCCCTCTGGTTGAGATTCCCCTATCTCACCCCCTTGGTGTTCTATTAAGCTATTAGCTCACAATTTGTTTTCTATTTCATAAGTTTAATGCCCTCAAAGGATAAAACTCCTGGGCATGTATTCATGAAACCATTCTTATGCTCATACTCAGATTCTGTGCTCCAGCCTATTTTTTTGTTCCAGTGATGAAGTTTATAAATAATCACATTTTGTCAATGATTCGGGAGAGTTTGGATAGACATGAAGCTGAAAATCGTTTTCAATGTCTAGACTTGACGTTTTGACCATGTCATATGATTTAAACAAGTAACAAGGACATCAGTGTGAGCACAGAATCCTTGCTTGAACATGAGAATGGTTTCATGAAAACGGGCCCTGACCCTTATTTCATAAATGTCAGGAGGCATTACTAAAATTAAGGAAAACTCTTTAACATTAAGAACAAGTTTGGAACACATTAAAAGGAAAGCTGCCAACACAGTATAACCTTGGCCCTTTAGAAATCAAACCCTCAGTTACATTTTAACACATCCCTTTGATATGTTTTGGTTTCTTTGTTTTATATGGGGTCCTTGCAACAGTTAAAGTCATGAAGATGGGTGACTAGCTAGGGAGACAGTCCCAAATAGAAAGAGTAAAGTGATTTTTTTTTTTATATAGATGCCAAATGCTGCAATGTGGGCAATAGACTAGTTTTTGTTTCTTTAATGTTCTCTTTTAACTCATTCATCACTGAAGACACATTTGAACTCTTCCAATTCAAAGCTTTGAATAGATCATTATGCAATTTCAGGGGTGATTGAGTGAAAGCAGATGACATAGAAGAAAACACTGGATTCCCCAGAGGGCCCTACATTTGTTGCCTCTTAAGGTAACTTGCATTAGGATACAGCAGGCTAACTCCCAAACTTGCAGGCGTACATCCCTTTGAATAAACTTCAATGTAATTTAACTTATACATTCATCATCCAAATACCTGTGTAAATCAGGTCTTTCGTTTTTTTATTTAGACAGATTTCACAGTATTAAAGCATATGTTTTACTAAACTGTAGCTATATCTGACTAGTCATCATCGACCACACCTGAAGATAAGGTGAAATGTTCATGTAACTCGGGAGAAACATACTCTTTTGAATTATCTCCAACTTGTTTTAAAGACTCTATTTCTTGTTGAGCCTTCTTGAAGAGATTCTGTTTGGCTTCAAATGTGCTGGACTTCATGTAATTGACAATATGTTGATACTGGCTGTCTGCGTAGCGGGCTAGCGCAAGGTACGAGTCCAACGCTACGTCGTCCTTGATGCCAGCCTCATCCAACATAGCAACGGCCTACAAGGTCAATCAATGGTCACAAGATTACAATACAATGTCAAATGATGGCTACCTGTACATGATCATGATAAAAATCAAATGAAGGTCAGGTGATTCTGCTACAAGTTAAAACAAAGATCATAGGTTTCAATACAAGATTAAAAAAATATCACTGGCTTGTGAAACATGGTAAAATGAAGGTTATGTGACAACGAAGCAAGATCAAATGACGATCACATGATGATATTATAAGGTAATGAGACTAAGATTAAAGCTACATACAAAATCACTCTCCAAATATGTAATGATAAACAGGCTAGTCAGTGAATAATGTTATTCCACCCAGAAAATGCACTAGCAATCAAACTACACAACAGTTATATGTAGTTTGTATAAGATTTCAGTTGTGGATCTAAGAGAGAGAAATGTCCTGCCACTGATTTAATATCATTCTATTGTAATATTTAGACATCTCTACGATTTTTTATACACTGAAGATGAAGGTTTTACCTTTTCCAGGTATTCTTCCATGATGACGTTTGCGTTCTCCGATCTTGTTTCTGCCAGCCAGTTACCGTATATACAAAGCACTTTCGCATAGTACTTGGCAGCATCCTTGCTGTCCCTGCGGACCTGTTACATACAGAAACCCAAACATTCAAGTTAATCTTTCTGTGGACCTGTGACATACAGAAACCCAAACATTCAAGTTAATCTTTCCGCGGACCTGTGACATACAGAAACCCAAACATTCAAGTTAATCTTTCCGCGGACCTGTGACATACAGAAACCCAAACATTCAAGTTAATCTTTCTGTGGACCTATGGCATACAGAAACCCAAACCTTTTATAGATGCCTCCTTTTAACTAGGAGGCATTTCAATTCAGTAGGTTGCCATATATTTACCTCCATACTGTTTGAAAAAGCCTTCTTTTAAAAGTTTTCCTTACCTTACGGAGTTGTGAAATGATGTCTTTCATGAGGTGTTTGGCGATGTTCTGTTCCTGACGGGCCCAGAACATGTTGGCCTCCTCCACCATCTTGGTGATGTGGAGGTCAAGGACAGATGTTTCTAAGGACTTCAGCTGACCAATGGCTCTCTCTGCTACCTATAACAGGTATATAGTTGATATACTGTAAACGAACATAATTTAGTTGTAGTCTTATTTCAGCACTTTTTCTTGCCCTTTCAATTTTGAGCTAAATTAGGATGGTGATGATTGAAGTTCCTATATTTTGTTTTCTAATGCATATATTGTAAGTGTGTAACTCATCAATGCACTAATTCTTAAAATCTGATAAAGCACTAAACTTTGAGTGTGCAAAAAATACACAAGTTTACATACAGTACCTAATGTCTCTGGTTTATATACAGTAACACCTTGATCTAATGCCTATTATTTCATTTGGTACCTTTCTTATTGTTAGTAAGGTTCAATATTCTGAACTATTTCTTTACACATCTTTCTCCATATATTGAACAAGAGATCCCAGAGGGATCTTGGCGCCCACCTTTGTACCATCTTCATTAGTTCTTTGTCAGTTCGATCTGTTCTCTTCTTTCCTCTAATCTGTTTGATCGAGTCATGTTTAAAGTAAATGCACCTTGAGGTAACTTTTGATCTAAACTTAATACTGATGTGTATGAAAGCCAACCTTCAAAGTGAG